ATGGAAATAGATGTGTGAGACCGCTGTGTCAGCAAGAAGCTGTGTGTGGGGTGTTGACGTACTTTGTGTGAGCGGCTCATCACTGTTGCATCTGATACAAAGCCACTGCTCTGACCACACGCTTGAGATTTCTGCACACTGTGTGCTGAAACAATGTCCTTTAAAGCTTAAGATGGAGCAATCACACCACGGCTAGTAGGCTACCTCGAACACAAATATGCCCTAGTTAGACAGGAAGTCTAGTGATTGTTCAAATATGACAGGCTATTTGATCCCCTGCTACAGTGCTTAAAAAAAAGTCTATCGCACACCATGAAATATCGGTACCAGTGTTTTAAATGATTTATTGATATGTTTCATCTTCTATATTAGATACTTTGGTTGTATTTTATTTGTCTCAGAAGTGCCCTGATTATCCTGATTACGCATAGTTTTCTTAATTCATGTGTGTGCATGTTTATCAATCATTTTGTCATAAAAATCCACGAGGGAATGACCAAAAGTTCTGAAGAACTAAAGCTAACAGCAACATTTGTATTTTTGTTATATCTATCATTGTTTTCTTAAAGGTCCCCTATCATACTCTATTTCAAAAACTTATTACAGGTTTTTCTAAGATTTTCAAGATTCAAGGCTTTATTTTCATATGCACAGTAGCTACATTGTAGATATGGCAATGAAAAACTGAAGTCCAAGGCTCCTCCAACAATGCAACATAATATATATAGAACATAAAACAAATAAAACCAATACAATAGTTCAAGAAATAAAAGAATATAAATAAAATAGAGCAAGAGAATGTTGTAAGATGTGCAAGTAAATACAAATAAAATAGGAATAGTGCAAGAAGAGTCTAAATACACGTAAATGGAATATGATATATGGATAAATAAATAGCAAGATGCAAACAGGTGAATGTTATGGATGTTCTTTACAGAGCTCAGGTGTTTTGTAATCCTGCGGGCTTTCTTCCTGAGCCGCTTTTGGTGAGGGTTTTCTTTCCGTCCTCCTCGGAAGCCCATGCCTCTCTCTAGCATGCTCATGGTGGCTGGTGCTCTAAAGAGGAACATGGAAGACCAACAGCGATCGAAAGAGCTGTAGATGTGAAGGAGGAGTAGGAGGAGGCAAGCTCTTTTGATACCTTTGAAAGATGGATTGGGTCCAAAAATTCAGGTGATCAAAATGTCAGGGTTTCGCCCAAGGGTGCTTTTCAGACGTCATGAGTGGTGTAAAAAGAAGACAAGATTTTCCATTTGACTTCATAGTGATTTTATGATATAGATCTCAGGCTGTTTTTTGTATAGACTGCAAGCAGACAATATAGGAGCACATCGAAAATGTGTCCACCCTGTCCTGGACAGAAACAAAGTAGATTACATGTATTTTCATTGTGATTAAAACATTTACATTTTCAGAAAGATATTTTATCCCTTTCTTGACAACATATTGTAATTGACTTTATTTATATGGCATATCTTTTATACACGGTAGTAACACAAAGTGCTTCACAAAAACACATTGACAATTCACAAATAGAAACAATACTATCTCTCCCCCTTCCCGGTTGATAATCAGTGTAACACATAGCTTTAAAATCAAAATTAAAAAGGTGGGTCTGGACTTTAAAGTGCTAAATTATGAACAATGTGCTGTTTGTCACCTTTTGTTACAGAATGGACACACAATTGTGGCAAGATAATTAAGGCAAAAGCATCTTTTTTATTAGTTGTATTAAATGTTGCTTCCATGAGTTGTAATAGTTCCAGGACACTATTTTATTTTTTTACTTTACTCTACATCTGTATATTTCTCTTAAGTAGCATTAGCATTGTTTTCTTAAAAACATTTTTGAAAACGTAATGTTAGTTATCAACTAGGGGAAGTTACTGGTGAGTTATGTCGGACACATCGTTCTACTTTATTCATCTGTGTCTCCTCTTAACCATCTCCACACACGCACGCACGCACGCACGCACGCACGCACGCACGCACGCACGCACGCACGCACGCACGCACGCACGCACGCACGCACACACACACACACACACACACACACACACACACACACACACACACACACACACACACACACACACACTGAAGGGTGTCCTGCTGACTCTCACACAACAAAATGTGTGAGAAAGCTGTCTCATCCTGTGGTGATTGACACCTTTTTCAGTTTCCCATGATTGAAGGAGTGTATTTCAGTAGCCTCAAACACGTTTTGTTATCAGTCCAATATGCTCATTGTGTCAAATGGGTCTGTATCAACACTATTTGGCTATTGGTGTCCATCAGGCTAGAATTTATTAACTTATTCATCATTCCTTTTATAATATGACTCATAAATCAACATAACTTTTGTTGAAGAAATGTGACATCAAACTAAGCTTGTCTTACACACGACAAACAATATGGCATAGACCTATCATGGCAAAGTCCTGTAGACAAATAGCATCGTTGACTGCCAAACAAATTAACTCTCAAAGAGAGCAGAAAATACACGTTTTTAAAAAGTTAAAAAGTTAAAAAGTTTTAATAGCATTTAATATGTGTTGCCTGTCAAATCTATGTTAACCTCTCCGTTTATACCGCCAAAGCTGCACTGAGAAAACTGAAACGCGGATTTAATTACCTTTAGATATTAGGTTCAACGTATTGCTTTCAACTAACATAATACAATTAAGTGGAATTTGTTGACATAATACATTTCATTAAAGTGGTGTTTCAGTTCTTTCAGTGTGACGTCAGGGCAAACAAACGTGTGAGCCTCCAGCAGCTTTTGGATGGTAACAGACATATTGCAGACGTTCAGTAGAACCCAGTGACGCCCTATGACTCCTGCAGTCCACAAAGTAACTAAGTACATTTACTCAAGTACAATTTTGAGCTACTTTACTTGAGTTATTCAATTTTCTGCTGCTTTTTACTTCTACTCCATTCAAATTCAGAGGTAAATATAGTACTTTTACTCCACTACATGTATTTAATACCTTTAGTTACTTTACAGATCTGGATGAATGTGAAATATAATCAAGTGTTAAATCAGACTTTAGTTCCACCTGGAGTAAATTCACAAGCTACCCTGCAGTATACAAAGTCATTCAAACTAGCTGCACCTTTACCAGCTTTGAGAACACTTGAATGATCAATCATTATAAAACATATCATATATATTATTCTGAAATGGACCAATCTGCACAATGACTTTTACTTTAGGTACTTTAAGTATATTTTGATGATAATACTTTTGGACTTTTACTTGAGTCACATTTTGATTGCAGGACTTTTACTGTAACAAAGTATTCCTACACTCTGGTAATTCTACTTTTACTCAAGTACAAGATCTGAGTACTTCTAACACCTCAAACATTTAACAACATTAACATTTTCGCAACATTTAAATTTGTCTTTAAATAAAATGATATTCTGGTAATCACTAAGAATGATAAAATGTTTGCATAGGCCAAAACTAGAAGAGAAAGCACAACAGCATTTTGTGAAAACAACACAAGGCATTCTTGGGACTGCGTTGCCAGGGGACAAAGTCATAATTAAAGACATCACTCACCCCGGACAGAACCTGTTTGAGCTCCCCCCCATCAGACAGGTGCTTCAGATCAGATTCAGATTTTATGGGTTCTTACATTTATTTAATCCTCATCCAAGCACAAAATACATTTTGTCGTGCCTTAAAAATGTCATTAAAGTTCTTGAATCTAATGTTTAAAAGCTCAGTCTGCATCAGCCACTGCTTACTATACCATGCTATAGCACATTGGCATTGAATGCTTTGGCACAGTGGAAATGTTGGATTTAAACATTGTTTTTTTCCCAGGACAACATTTTTGTCATTCTGGACAGTGAGAAGAAATGTTTTGAATCATGAAAATTCTTAGCCCACTACAGGTTAACATCTCAAATAAAATCTAGTAGATGGTTCTGAGTAAGATATGAAGTGCAGTAACACATTTGACTAACTTTATATCTGCTTAGCATTTCCTACAACGATGATACTTGCTAACTAACTAGCTCAATGCAGCTAAAGCTTCTCATTTTCAGTGTTGTAGGGATGCTAGGAGGAGGCTACAGTTATTTAACATAACCTACAGTATGCTAACGAATTAGCACTTTGACTGAGATATTTTATTTAGTTTTGGAGACCTTGACCAATATTTAACAGAAAAAACTGATTTATGTCATGTCCAAGGTATAATCCTTATACAGTAAACCTTTAACAATAGACGAACAAAGAATGTAACCTTATTTCAGGTTAAATTAAACACGTGCATTTGGTTAGCATTAGCAACTCCTGCTAACTTTGTGAGTGTAATGTTGCTTTTTAAAATAATGCTAAGATTGTTTTGTACGTGTCGTTTCGGTGGCACATGTACTGAGAGATTAATGATGGTTAGATAATGATAGTGAAACATTGCCTCAGCAAAATGCACCAACAGTAAGAGTCAGTTAACCAGAATATTGCATTTTAGAAGTACTGTATCAGTGTGTGTGTGTGATGAAAATGCACTCACAAGGCCACAAGTAGCGACTTCGACCGACACAGGAGCTGTTTCCACTTCCTGTTGTTGACCTTTAATGCAGCAACCCAGTAACACCACACTTTCCACAGTGTGAACGGAAGACATTGTGAAACCGGCATCTTTTCTACAGAACCTCTCACTAATGCAGACCATTGACTAGCTTGTAGTACACTCAAGAAACGTTGACTTGAATAAATGTATTATGTTAACAGATAACACATAACTGTAGTAGGTCAATTGAAAGCATTAATATTACGTTTAAATGTAAAACAATATGTTCAACTTAATACAATTGCTTTCAACTTACCTAATACAGTTATGTGTAACCTGTTGACATAATACATTTAATTAAAGTTACTGTTACATTTTTTCAGTGTATGATCAAGTGAAAGTCTAAGTAAACATTTTTTAAATGCACAAAGAGAATGTCCTGATTTAAATGAACTTGGACCACATAGATTGAGTTTATGGAAAAGAGAATTTATAGAAAATAGAAAGTATTTACACACATTTAAAAACATGTACATGCTTCAGGTAAAAGTAGAAAGGTATATACATCATTTACATGCTGAAAATAGGGATAACAAAAATATATATAAAAATTCCCCGAGCAGGTCCTCATTCACTTTCTTTGTTCTCCACACGCTCGAAGTAATCGAAGGATTCGTACACTGGCACCTGACACTGAAAGAGAGAGACACATAAAAACTGTGATTGCGAGCATTATACTGTATCAGTGCTATAGCTATAGCTTATGTACATTGACATAAGACCTTTGTGAATGCGCAATACAAACAATTAAGGAGGCATGAGAAATTGAAACAGTTGGTCAAAAACAGGATGCCAGATATATTTCATAATTATTACTCAATACTGTATGTCCCCGTTTTGGTTCCAACGAGATCATAGTTTATACTGAATTCCCAGAAAAACTGAAATGTGTTTTTGCTGCAGTGTAAACCAGTACAACAGTTTGGTTGTGTTTTAAATCCTACCCCGATGAAACATCTATTTTTTTATTTAAATGCAAGTGTATGATGCAAGTTTATCGTGATGCTGCCTCACCGCATTATATTTCTATTACATTTGTGAGAGAGATCAAATATAAAACTTGAAATGAAATTCATTACAAAAGTAAAACTAAAATAATGCTTGAGCCACTACATAAAGTCTTCTTAAAAAAGGGAACAATTTAAGTTTTGCTCTTTCAATGCTGTAGGGCACTGCATTACACCATACTGCAGTAAAGGTGAAAGAAACAAAATTCTAAAGGATTGAACATTTTATAAAATGTGGTCGGTGTATATGCAGCAGAACATAATAACATCAAATTGAAACCAACAATGGATTTTTTATTTGATATATTAAATACTGAGAATGCTGCTATTTTATATAATGTGCTCTCAAACTACTTCCATTACTTATTGCTGCCACATGCCCCTTAGGACTTGTGTATATGTCTATGTTTTAATGGTGTGTTATTATGTTATGTATATTGTATGTATCTTGGAGATGTACTTGGAAAAGACAAAGGCACATTTCCACTGAGGTGGAAAATACAGTTAATCTAATCTAATAATGTTATGCCTTCAGAGAGTAGTTTTAGATTAGCATATTTAGCACCATTCACCACCTAGTCACCATTTATCACACTTCAGCTCACGCAATATAATAAACACCTCTTGTGGAACATTCTGGAAACTTTAAGAAGGCTGATTAAAGACATGTAAATCAATGTGAGGCAGACTGACAATGAGGATGACTTCTTTTTTAAACAAGATGATATGTAACAATTGTAAATATGCAGTAATGTCTAACATTTATTTGTAATTTATTTTATTACAATCACACAAATTCTATGTTCTGTATCTACCAAAAGTTAATACCTGACTTGTTAGCCCTCAAATCAGTGGGCAGAACATCTGAAATGCAGTCCCTGTACCCATACGATTATTTTTGTGGGGACTTTCCCGCTTTATATTGTGTCCTTCATGTTTTCCTCTTCCCTTTTTGTTAACGTGTTTCCCAGGAGAGGTAAACTGCACTGTTTTCGGACATTTCTGCATTAACCTATGAACAAAGACAAGGTGGAATCTGACTTCAAAGGCTGTAACACTGACTTCAAAGGCTGTAACACTAGGAATATGTGGGCGGGACTAAGGACAATGACTGACTACAAAGGAGCAGCGGGGGGTGCTGCGGGAGTGTCTGCGTGCGCATCTCTCCCAGATGAGCTAAACAGTTTTTTTGCACGCTTTGAGAGCAGCCAGGCTGTGGAGGTACAGAGGGACCAGGAGCTACACTGCCCTTTTGTTTTAAATAGGGCAGATGTGTGTAAATCCTTTAAAAGGGTTAACCCACACAAGGCTCCTGGACCTGATGGCATCCCTGGCCGTGTTCTCGGGGTGTGTGCAGTTCAGCTGGCAGAGGTGTTCACAGACATCTTCAACAGGTCCCTGCTGCAGTCTGTAGTCCCCACATGTCTTAAACACTCCACCATCATTCCTGTCCCCAAAAAGACAATCATCACCTGCCCCAACGACTACCGCCCAGTAGCACTCACCTCCATCATAATGAAGTGCTTTGAGCGGTTAGTCAAATTATTCATCACCTCCTCCCTCCCTGAATCTCTGGACCCCCTGCAGTTTGCCTACAGAGCAAACAGGTCCACAGACGACGCCATAGCCCTCACCCTCCACACTGCCCTCTCACACCTGGACCCGAAGAACAGGAACACATATGTGAGAATGCTGTTCATTGACTACAGTTCAGCATTCAACACCATTGTGCCCTCCAAGCTGGCCATCAAGCTCAGAGACCTCGGGCTCAACAGCGCCCTCTGTGACTGGATCCTGAACTTCCTGACGGGCAGACCCCAGGCAGTGCGGGTGGGAAATATCACATCCTCCACCCTGATTCTCAACACCGGTGCCCCTCAAGGCTGCGTGCTCAGCCCTCTCCTCTACTCCCTGTTCACCCACGACTGCGTGGCCACACACAGCTCCAACACCATCGTGAAGTTTGCTGATGACACGACCGTCATCGGCCAGATCACAGACGATGACGAGACGGCGTACAGAGAGGAGGTCGAAAACCTGACATCTTGGTGCCAGGAGAACAACTTCCATCTCAACATCAGCAAAACAAAGGAGCTGATTGTGGATTACAGGAAGCAGCAGGGAGAGGGACACGCCCCCATCGCCATCAATGGGACTACGGTGGAGAGAGTCAAAAGCTTCAGGTTCCTTGGGGTCCACATCACTGAGGACCTGACATGGTCTCTTCACACCACCACCATCACCAAGAAAGCTCGACAGCGGCTCTTCTTCCTCCGCAGGTTGAGGAGGTTCAAAATGGATTCCAGGATACTCTGCAACTTCTACAGGTGCACCATAGAGAGTATCCTCACTGGCAGCATGACGGCCTGGTACGGCAGCTGCACCGACCTCGATCGTAAGGCTTTACAGAGGGTGGTGAAAACTGCACAGCACATCACCAGGACGGAGCTGCCATCCATGGAGGACCTTTACTCCCAGCGGCTCAGGAAGAAATCACTACGGATTATCAAAGACCCCCATCACCCCAGCCACAAACTGTTCATTCTGTTGCCGTCTGGCAGACGTTACCGCAGCATCCTGGCAAGGACAAGAAGATTCGGAGACAGTTTCTTCCCGCGGGCAGTGAGACTGTTAAAAAATTGAACTGTTGAAACAACTTCAAACATTCAACTGCTACTCAGTAGTATGTATCTAATACCTAATATATATATCATTCCAATAACTTGTATATAGACTCATACTGCACTATTCCACATCATAACTTTATTTCATTTTTATAACTATTATTATTTTTGTATTGCTCTTGCTCTTATTGTTATTATGTTATGTTATTATGTTGCATTGTTGGAGAAGCCTGTGACATAAGATTTTCAACTGCATAATTACTCTGTAGCTATGTCAGATTGACAATAAAGAACCTTGAACCTTGAACCTTGAACCTTGAACATGTGTGTATGCTGAATTATTTCTTTCTTATTTCATCTGTGCAGGAGCCGAAGTGTGAGGGCATACAATAAAGTAACAACTGATGTGTGTACATCTGTTGTCAGAATAAACGCAGATCGGCTCCAACAATATGCTGACTCGCGTCTTATCTTCCAAAACACATCACAGACACCGCTGGTCGACACCGGTTACATAATACAATAGAATGGCCAATGTCTGTTCTTTTCTCCTCTAAAGTGATCAAAAGGTGGATTTCCTTTTCCTCTCACTATTTGACTCTTCATTCACTACACTGAAGGAAAAAAGGGAACGAAGACCCTGCTGTTGGCGCTACCATTTTGTCTTTTTCAGTTTGCTACTGTTACTCTGTTTGTCATTGTACTCACCCACTGAGAGGACCCTGTGGAGGAGCTGGTGCTGTGTTTGTCCATCTCTACTTCCTCAGAGTCAATGTGGGGAACCTCGTAGATCACCCTGGCTGTTCGTGCTGAACCCATGAGACACACACACACACACACACACACACACACACACACACACACACACACACACACACACACACACACACACACACACACACACACACACACACACACAGAGACAAACAAAAAAGTCATGATAAGGTATGTTGAACAAAATCTAATCCAGGTTGTAAGATCATACATTGAAGCATCACACTTAAGCTTTATTTTACCCAAGCCATGTATTGCAGTCACAGTTGACTTGAACTAAATGCATTATGTCAACAGATTTCACATAACTGTATTAGGTTAGTAGAAAGCAATAATATCAAGTTTAAATACAAATGAATAGGTTCAACTTAACATTATTGCTTTCGACTAACCTAATACAATTATGTGGAAACTGTTGACATAATACATTTAATTAAAGTAAATGTTTAATTTTTCATTGCAGAACATTTCCTTGATAGCTTTTTTTAGTCTTGCGTATTATAGGGTATACTCACCTCCAAAATGCAAAAAACAGAACACAAATAGGTGGGAAATGTTTGAAAGTGGAAGTTTACCATGACCACAAATTTTGCTAAAATGCACGAGCTATTAAAGTCCAGGAATTCAAAAATCAATTCAATTATATTTATTTTATTTTATCATTTAATATACTTTGAATTGTCAGATTGCGCATACATTTAATTTTTCCCTTTAGTTAAATTAAGACTTAGCCAAATGTATGATTAAATGTTCACATGGGACGATCAAAATGTTTGGATTTTGTCCCCCATTTAATATAAATCTCTAATAAGTTTATATTAAATACAAAGACTTCACCTTATGTTTTACGTCATTAACTCATTGTTTTGCTTCAAATACGCAACTTTACCTTCAACTTAAGTTTATCTAGGCACTTTTTCATTACAGTATGTACGGTGAAAAAATGGCAGATTAATGTTCTCAGCATTTTCAGTTGCTAGAAAGACAATTAATGAAGGTTTAAGAATGTATTTTAAGATAAGTCATCTTCAAAGCACAGATTAGCATTAGTCCTTTATTTGTCAAATTGTAATTAGATTGTTTCCGCTATTCAAATTCAAACCTTGTAGTTTCTGCTCTGTTTAAGTCTTCCTACTGGCTGCGTTAGTTGTGTCTCTTTAGAAAAATGACATCATATTAAGCTGATGATTTTCTTTTTAGATAATATGACCTTCAAGCTGGTGCATCACAAAAAACTAATTCTATTCTCTTCCATTCTTATTAAATGTAAATAGGCTAAAACCTATCTGCATGGTATAGGCAAATGAGAAATATGCTTTTTATTTTATTTGGGTAAACCAACCCTTTATTCTGGGACAATACTTAATAGAGTTTCAAATGCTTGAATAATATGGCAGTAATATATTTTTCTTTACCTTGTCTCCTTCGCAGACAGCAGAAACACAAGAGTGTGATGAGGAGTAATGGAGTCACCACAGCCAGACAAATGATCACAGAACGCTCCACAGAAAGGCTACGTTGATGTTCTATTGTGAGAAAAAGTGATACACAAATATAACTGGTGACAAAATAGCAGAAGTGAAGGTGTTAGGGAGTTTCCTTTAATTTGATTTCTTTTGCAGGAAATTGGATTTGTGTGCAAGGTAAAGAGATGTTAAAAAAAGTAGCACTATGAGAAAAACAACATTGGATTGTTTATTTATGAAACAGGCAAAATGTGACTGATCTAAGGTTTACAAGTTAATGTGAAGCCTTGTTTTGTCACCTACCTCTTGTTGTGTTGACCTCTGTGTTGTCTACAACTGTGATGACAGTACCATTTCCTTCTTTTATAGTTAAAACTGGTATCTCCACTATCACTCTGCATATGTATGTCCCTGAATCCTCTCTGGTGACACTACTTAAGGTAAAGTGTGAGCAGTTAGATCCTTGATTCTTGAAGTTGAAAGACTCCAACTCTGTGTCATTTTTCAGCCAATTAACGCTGACGCTTTCAAACTCCAGTGGCCAGCAGCAGGTGATGTTGACTGTCTCCCCCTCCTCGACGGATAAATCAGGAGACTGGGTAACAACAAATGTACCTGATGAAACACCTGTGAAGAGATGGAATGATGAGTTCATCAAAAACAAATACCCATTGCCATATTTTAAAAGATTTTTTAGCGTGTAACATGTTATAGACAATTTTAAACAAAATCTCAAGATATGCGTTATATAGACATGGTTTAAGAAGATCGTAGAGATTTAAACAGTTTTAGCAAATGTCTACAACCAAAATGTGGAAACTACATAAGCAATAAGGAAATGGTGGTCTCTGTCAATTGCCATGTATTGTTACACATTCAACAGTTATTGCTAATGTTGGCTACGATAAATACACTCTTTAGGAAATCCATAGTTTTCGAGTACAAGTTTAACAAGGTTAAATTAAAGGTTAAGTTTTGTTTTTACTCACACCGAGATGAGAGGGCACAATAAGAGGCGAGGAGCAGACTGCAGAGAAGAAGCTTCATCTTTACACTCTGAATCACCACAGACAACTGACACTCTTCTCTTCACAGCTATCAACGTCCTTCCCACCACATTACATCACACACACACACACACACACACACACACACACACACACACACACACACACACACACACACACGTCACTGTGGGCATTGTGTTTTTTCTGCCGCTGCTCTGTTCCTTCCTCTTTCAGTTGCTGCTTCAGGTTCTACTGAAATGTCCCACCAACAAATAAGATGGTGAGGATAAAAGAAGTAAAATATTTTTGTGTTTTCATTAGGAAAATATAAGGGCAATGTTGTCTTTGCCTTGTGTTTCAACTACCAAAGGACACAAATGGTGGCCTTACTCCATTTCTTACCCTAAACCTAGTCCTACATTTACCAAGTATTTTAAGGTTTCTTTGTAGTAAGTTAATTGTCACATTATTTCCAAAGAACCTTTAAAGGATATTCTTCAGAAGGTTGGTTCAGTTCACCTGTTTATACTAAAATGGGTTGAACCATTCATCTCTGTTCAGATTGAGGTGGTGGCATCTTAAAGAGGCCCTATTGTGCTGTTTGGGGTGTTCCCTTTCCTGTAGTGTGTTCTGTAGGTTTGTGTGCATGTAAATGGTCTACAAAGGCTCAAATCCCTGTGTGCAGCACAAGCAGTATGAGAAAAATAAAGAGCTTTTCGAACATTAAAGCATGAAGACATGTCAGAGTAGAGGCAGAAAATACAAATATGAACCTGAACATGAACAAAATAGCGCCCCTTTAAAGTCATGAATTGCTGTCTGCTTTAGTGTTGTGTTTTTTTTCAAACAACCACTAGGAGTCCCCAAAGTATACACTCTTCAAATCTTTGACTGAAGGGCTTACTCCTACACTGTCAAATTCTCCACTGTCTTCAATATACTAAAAACTAATTGGTCAAGTTTTATTCTGATGTAAACCCTCTGTGTACTATGTGCAGAAATATGTACTCTTATCCACACTTTTGGACCTGCCATTCAATTTGTATGTATTGCTTTGTGTCACTTTTTGCTTAAGATAAAAACCTTTATAAATATATGAGCCAGAAAAATTAAATAAAGCATGGACTCTACCATACTATACTTATAGGTCCATATTCAAACTAAAACAGATGGTGCCCTTATGTTTCTGAATTGCATTTATACAATCCTGTACATATAAGAAAAGATTACTGTCCTGTTCATTTTTTTAATAATTTTTTATGACATGCAATTATAGACACAGAGGCAATCAAAGGAGATATAAGCAGTCTACCACACACATTTTCTAAATAAAAGCATCAAGACGAATCTCAAAGTGCAGATTAACACAATGTTAGCAAACTCCTTTTATCCAAAAACGTAAGCGAATAATTAAAGGTGACACGTGTTGATTTCGTGTAAATATCATTACTATGTGTGGATTCCTTTTCCTCACATCTCTTTACTCTTCCTCCTGGTTTTCTCCTCTTCTTTGGGCTGAAGTGAGTTCATTTCCAGGAGCAGCTGAAACACAGATGCACTGATCGATTAGTCTCAATGTTCTCTAACATTGTATATTCTTCTAATGCATGATCAAAACACAATTTTATCAAAATGGAGTAAAGGTTGTTGTACCTGATGTGCGTCACTGAGCTTTAGCCCTGGAATTGATGATGAAGAAGGTCACGATGAGGCCGAGGAGGGGCAGGCACCTCAGGACATAAATGAACACTTCTCCCCTGAAGAGAGGAACTGAGTATCCTACACAGAGATGACATGATTAGTCTTTATAGGCGACAACACCTTTCTGTGGGAGGTGTGACATCCTGCAGTTGGGTTGAGTCTACCCCATTTTCTCTTTTTTTTCTTTTTAGAAGATAGGATTTGGTTGATAGTTAAAAAGGATGTCAAGTAAACTGCTTTGAAAACAAGCAATATGTGGCTGATCTAAGGTTTGAGATGTGATATCAAGGCTTTTTTTCTAAACAGACCATATTACATTCTGAATTCTTAATATAATTAGCATATGGCAAACCAAGATATTAGTCAAAAACGATTATGCAACACTACCAGTGGTGGAATGTAACAAAGTACATTTAGTCAAGCATAATACTTTACTTTTTCACATTATGCTAATTTATATTTTCACTTTTTACTCAACTACATTTATTTTACAGATTAAGTTACTAACTACTTGGAGGATTAAGATTATTAATACAAAATATATATAACAACTAATACATTATGATATATAGCTTAATCTATCAAAACCTTTACCAATTGCAACATGGAAGTGATGAACACATTATTTCATTATTATTTAAATACAATCATTTCAAATAAATGGTGCTTAAATGGTCCATTCTGCAAAACAAGAACCTTTACTTTTGGTACTTCAAGTATATTTTGAGGGTAATACTTTGGTACTTTTACTTTAAGTACAATTGTGAATGCATTTCTACACTGTAGTTTCGCTTATTTTACTGAGTGGATAATCTGAGTACTTCTTCCATCTCTGCTAGCACCTACCTCTTGTTGTGTTGACCTTTGTGTTGTCTATAACTGTGATGACAGTACCATTTCCTTTAAAAGAAGCAAAAACTGGTATCTCCCCTATCACCTTGCATATGTATGTCCCTGAATCCTCTCTGGTGACATTAATTAAGGTCAAGTTTGAGCACTTAGATGTCTCTTTTTGTGGAGATCCTTGAGAGAGATTCTTCATGTTGAAAGACCCAAAATGTGTGTCATGTTTCATCCAGTTAACTCTGAATCTTCCAAACTCCAGTGTCCAGCAGCAGGCGATGTTTACTGTCTCCCCCTCCGAGACAGAGAAATCAGGAGACTGGGTAACATCAAATGTACCTGATGAAACACCTATGAAGAGGGATATATAATTTGGTAAAATACAAATTGCGCCACCTCACATCTAGATGAAAAACAGGGTAAGACTTTTAAATATATTTAGTTGAGTTGAGAAAAATACAAGAGCAGGGTAAAATGGCACCATTTTCTTACAATATATTTGAAAGAAAACAAATATACTAATTTCACTTTCATTTATCAAGAATACTAAAAAACATGTCATGATTTAAAAAAGAAATGCCCAACAGCTATACCCAAATAACACCGATCAGCCATAACATTATGACCACCTGCCTATTATGTGTAGGTCTTCTGCATTACCCTGCTGAAAGAGGCCACAGCCATGAGGGAATACCGTCTCCATGAAGAGGTGTACTTGTCTGCAACAATGTTTGGGTAGGTGGTGCGTGTCAAAGTTACATCCACATGAATGGCATGGCAGGACCCAAGGTTACCCAGCAGAATGTTGCCCAGAGCAGCACACCGCCTTCTTCCCATAGTGCATCCTGGTGCCATGTCTTCCCCAGTTGATTGACGCACCCGGCCATCCATGATGTAAAAGAAAACATGATTCATCAGACCAGGCCACCTTCTTCCATTGCTCCGTGGTCCAGTTCTGACGCTCACGTGCCAATTGTAGGCGCTTTCGGAGGTGGACAGGGGTCAGCATGGTCACGGAGCCCCCTAGTTAACAAACTGCGATGCACTGTGTGTTCTGACAGCTTTCTAACAGAACCAGCATTAACTGTTTCAGTCATTTGAGCTACAGTAGGACCACACGGGCCGCCCTTCACTCCCGACTCGCATCAAGTCTGTTTCTGCCCATGACCCCGGTTCACTGGTTTTCCAGACCACTTTGGTATATACATATACATATACATTTGGCCCTTGTCAAAGTCACTCACATCCTTGCCCATTTTTCCTGCTTCCAACACATCAACTTTGAGGATAAAGTGTTCACTTGCAGCCTAACATATCCCACCCAGTGACAGGTGCCATTGTAACGAGATAATCCATGTTCTTCACCTGTCAGTGGTCATAATGTTTTGGCTGATCGGTGTATTTTCATTATTTAAATAAATGCGTGTATTGTTAGCTGTATATTTCCCCACACCTCCACACAGTTGCTCCGAAATCATAATTTTTTAATTCCCAAAAACCATCAACTTGGTTAGCTTGATTTGAATGACCGACTCTCAAATGACTGAGTACAAAACTATAGTAAAATACTGAATATGGAGATCATGCAGACTATTCGTACTTACTCCGAGAAGAGAGGGCACGGAGGGGGGCGAGTAGCAGACTGAACAGCAGAAGATTCATCCTTTATCACAGATCACCACTGAATACTGATCTAACAAATACACACAAAGCTATTGACGTCGGCTGCGTTTGAAGGTGTTTTTAAAAGTTGTTTGAAGATAAAAGTATAAAACGACAAACTCTGTCTCTTTTCTTCCAGATCAGTTGAAGACAATAATATGAAGGAAGTCATTTAGTCAAGCCCTTTTCTCTCTGTGAAGCCGGAAGAATAAAAAGAAGAAGTGTTAAAAAACAAAACGATGGGTGTTTCCTCTGCAGGTTAGAAGCAAAGGCCACATTATTGCTCAGGTAATAGATTTGGCAAATCAGACTTTTTATTGAAAATATTTTTTAAAGGCATTAAATGGGGTTTGAATTGACCATTTATTTTGACCTCAACTTCTATATAGGTGGAATTTAAGTTGTGACCTTTAATGAAACAGTGACCCTGCCCCTAAATCTCTATTTATTCTCTATCACCATTTACTTCATAAATACAATATGTGAGTTCTCCAAACAACAACAAAAGATGGAGAAAAAATACTGCTTAAATCAATATTCATGCTAATGCTTATTAAATGACTTTATTAAGCAATATTAGCAAACTATAGGAAGTCTAATAATAAGTAGGAATGGTAATGGGTTATGTGCAAATCAACTAACAGAGTAAAGAAGGTGTCAATCAAGTGCAGTTTGTGAGAGGAGGCACACTGGAAAAACTGAAATGTTGACCTTAATTAAATGTATTATGTCAACAAATTGACTGATATGAAGGTTGACTACATTACATGTGATTTAGACACTTCTATCTAAAGCGAGTTACATATACTACTATACTGAATACATGTCTACTCAGCAGGAATTTGTGGTTTGAGTATATCTTGCCCAACAACACTTTGACATGCAGACTGCCGGGCATGGGGATCGAACCACTGACCATCCCATTAGCAGATGCATATGTACCCCCTGAGCCACAACTGTCCTGTTAATAAATAATATCACATACACTGAAAAACAGAAACTTTGACTTTAATTAAGTGTATTATGTCAACAAATGTCACATTACTATATTAGGTTAGCTGACAGCAATACTATTAAGTTGAATCTAATATTTTGTATTTAAATGTAATAATATTATGTGAAATCTGTTGACATAATACATTCAATTAAATTCAACATTTCAGTTCTTTCAGTGTAGAGAGGTTATTACAAATTGAGGTTAGATAAGTGATTATAAAAAATTAAAAACATACCATAAACCAAAACAGTACCAAAAATGGGGTTTGTGTTCATGACATTTTGGAATAAAAAAGATAAAGAAAATGTAATAACTGGACATTTATTTTGACAAATTTATTGTATAGTAGTCTGTGCTTTTAATGACTTGTATTGAGACACATTTAGAAATAAAAAAATGTTGCCGTAAATGTATTCTAAAAGCTTGTTTTAGCATGTTTCATCATCATGTCAAGCAACTTAATACATTTCTTACACATTTTGTACAGTAAGGATAGATAAAATACCACATATACCAAGTATTTTATACATATTTTAGGTAGTGCTGCATGTACAGAAAGTAGATATTTAAAGTGTCCTGACTCCAGGCTATATGGGGCACTGTCATGGAGGAATGAACCAGCAATCTCTGGACTCAATAATGAACGTATCAATGGAAGGTGGTTCTAGAGACAGCAGTTTGCATGGTGCAGTGAGTCTGCCTTTGTGGTATTTGTCGATAAGGTCTACAAAACAGAATTAATGTGTGCACTACTTTGGACTGTCAGTGAGTTAAAAGAGAATGACAGGAAGACCCTAAACCACAAACCGCTGAATGTTCAGCCTCCCTCTCACTGACACAGATATTTTGCAGCCCTTTAGTCTTCTTATAGTGACATGCTGTGTACACATAAACTTACACAGCTTCTTATTCACGGACACAATGATTCATTCCGTCTACTTTATTGCCAATTTGGTTATTTCAGTTAATATTCAAAGGGTTTTGTACGGGCTCCAGTCAGAATCCAATCATCTATCTTTATTAGAATCCTGTAAAGCAGTAATAGTTTGCTTACTTGTTACTATTTGCTCTATAGCATTATTCTACTTTTAGTCAATCCCAAAGGAGATTTTATTTTTAAGGATTTGGTAAGGAAAATGCACTCTTTGCTGATGGTTTTAATTTGGCGGTATACAGTGTTTTTACACAAGAATATAATGGTTGAAGTAGATACACTACATACTGATATACACCTGAACATCAGCAGGAGAGGACTCTTTAAAGTAGAGACACTACATACTGATATACACCTGAACATCAGCAGGAGAGGACTCTTTAAAGTAGAGACACTACATACTGATATACACCTGAACATCAGCAGGAGAGGACTCTTTAAAGTAGAGACACTACATACTGATATACACCTGAACATCAGCAGGAGAGGACTCTTTAAAGTAGAGACACTACATACTGATATACACCTGAACATCAGCAGGAGAGGACTCTTTAAAGTAGAGACACCACATACTGATATACACCTGAACATCAGCAGGAGAGGACTCTTTAAAGTAGAGACACCACATACTGATATACACCTGAACATCAGCTGGAGAGGACTCTTTAAATCTGTGTATAACATGGAGCTATGTAATTGCATATACAGTATTTTACAGTTAGCCGTAGCGAAGAAAAAAAGTAATGTTACTGTATTCAGTAATCTAAACCTGTGTTATTCTATATTGGCTTGGTTTATGTTTATTTGTATTCTCTTTGCTTTTTAATGACTGTTTTTAAATGCCATTTTATAATGTGTTACCGCTACACTATTTCTTAATGCTCTTAATGTCTTTTATTTTTGTAAAGCACTTTGAATTGCCTTGTGTTGAGAGGTACTATATCTATATAAATAAACCAGCCTTGCTTTGCCTTCAGTTCTCAGAGTAGGCCAGCAGAGGGCGCAGAAGACCAATAAACTAAATAATTAATATAAGGTGTGTTATACACCTACGGAAGACACATGGCATATACTGCCCGCCAGCCTGCTTTAAAATGCCCGCGAATATGAAACTTCGCGGGTAGGCTATGTGCCACGACCCCGGAAGTGTTTTTTTTGTTGGGGGGGTGGGAGCATGGATGTATAATAAGAACGGGTGGGAGGCTCAAGCTTATGCTAGCATTGAAGCATTGATGCTATGACGATGGACGCTCATGTGGAAGCTACCATACAGCGAGCTGATTTATAAACTGCCGTAGCCATTTGCCCACGTGTATGGGCAACGAATACACAAAGTCGTTAATTGTTTTTCCTATTGAATCATTTTGAACCATTTTGGATATCACAAGGCATTGCATTTACCGTGGGAACAATATGAAAATACAGTTTTAAAAGCAACATTTTCCAAGGTGAGTCTCTCTGTCACGTTAGCCTTTACACAGGGCTATGTTAACATACGGCAGTGTTGTTTTATAGTAGCAACGCTGTGTTTTATATGTACAGTTTTAATGGCGTCAAAAAACTGGTTACTGAATGTCGACGACAACACGGCTGTCATTCCCTGTGTCTTTTTAGTAACGTTGCTACTACTGTGTCAGACTGACTGAGTACAAACTACTGCACCAACAATATAACGTTCATTTAACAACAGCCATTTTAAATAGAATGAATGTCATTACTGGACTAAGTTATGATAGCCTCCTGTTGGTTTATCTTCGGTGCTTTATTTGTTCTACGCATAACGGAGCAGGTGTATTGTTAAGCTAGCCATGCCATATAAACATTAGGAATATCCTTTTTTATATCAGAAACAGGTTTATTATGAAGTAGGTTAACACATACGTGGAATTTGCCTTGGTGTATATGGTGCTTACATAAACACATTTAACGAAGATACATTGTAATAAAAACGACAAAAAAAGAAAATAAACTATTGTAAAAAATATGTTGCTCCAAATATGTTGCTCCAACTCATTTATTTTACAAATGTAGTTACTTTGCAGATTTACGTTATTATAGAATACATGAATCAATGCACATAAGCCACCCAGTAGTGAATAAAGCAATTCAAATACCCCACCTTTACCAAGTGCAACATTCAAGTGATGAACACATAAATGCACCATTCATTTTAATCAAATAAGAACATATCTGGGGCTTAAAATGGCCATTCTGCATTTTGAGTACTTTTAAATGCAATTTTGAATGCAGAGTATTTAACACTGTAATATTCCTACTTTTTTAATAGAGTAAAGAATCTGAGTACTTCCTCTATCTCTGGTTGTGTATTTGCTGCTTATTACGTTTCCTGTTACAGTGCAGGCATACTACTATTGAGTGAGACAATTAATTAACTTCATTTAACACCACTACTATACATATCACTCGGCAGGGAATATATTTAGCACTTTATTAGTAAGGGCTCATTAGTTCTGCTCCGCTGCCTTAAACATTGTTGCGTTCTAGATTTGAGGATAATGATTTACTGGCCTGCAGGCTTTGAAAACCATAGTCTTAGATTCGATAGATTTTGCACTTTATTTGTAAAGACTTTGCAAAAGCCTCATGGCCCATGCCATCTCATGAACACATGGTCTTTGTGACTCAGCCTGGTTTATTGTAAGGAGCTCTAATCTCCTGTGACTCAGTATTAAACAGAAGCCTTCTAGAATTTGATTGACACTTTTTCAGAGAGAGAAAACTGCAGTCAAGAGATTTTGAAAAGGTCTCATGGATTTGCTATATAGATTTTGATGAATGTCGACTTTTTGTTAAACTTCATACTTAAAGGTAAAAAGATGGATTTAGATTGACCACATTGATAATGTTTGTTTTGGGTGTGAGTCCTAAATTATATAATTTTTGCCTTGGGGAATTAGTTCAGCTTGAACCTGCCTGACAGCTCACAATCAGCTTCTTGTTGGTGTGTGGGTGTGTTTGTGTGTAAACATAGAAAATAATAGTGTGTATAAATGATTCCAGCGGTCTGCGTGTTGTTTTCCTCCATTTTAACAATGTTGTTTACCATAGATGAATACACCATGTAAGAGAAAATGCTACTACTGAAAGGAAGGAAGTGTGCGTGTGTGCGTGTGTGCGCGTGTTACTCAATTACTATAAGTGAGAGCTTCTTGGAAAATGTAAATTAGAGTGGCTTGAGTAAGATAAAGTGTACAGTAAGTAGTTGGCTGTCTGGAAATGAATCAGGGTTAGCCCTAAATAAATGGGTCCAACAGCATTTGGCAATTTTGGCTGCTATTTATCCTACACATTCTCATTGAAATGTCTTCGTGGGAACCATCAAAAATAAACAACAAGTGTCGGCAAAGAAGAGGTATTATCACACATACTGAATATGCTCACAAAACAGTGACGTTTATGTGTACCATGTGTAACGAGCTGCTGGAAGTATATAGACCTAAAGAGTGTAATGCCTTTGAACAGCAAAAACAGGTTTGAACATTCCACCTCAGTGTTCCTTCAGAATTGTTCTCACGTTTTTTCATGTTTTTCCTCAATGTAGAAGGAGGTGTCTTACACATGAAACAATGAAACCGCTTAGCCTGTCTGCCCTGTGCATTTTGTTGCTGAAAGACGTAAAAGAGAAAAGGAGAAAAGGACTGGAATGTTAAAGTCCTCCTTCTCTGTTTTGCTAAGTGTTGCTTCTCTTGTTTCAGCTGCTTCACATTCATCTGTTGTGTGAGGAGAGTTACCCACAGGCACCAAATATCTGTACACTTCTGACAATCGCATCCGAAGAGTTATCTGTGTGCAGATCGATTACTTAGTCTTAAGCTTTTTTTTTTACTTTCTCTTTATTTTGGTACTTATTCTGTCCTTGTGCTTCTACAAAAACCAAAGCTGTCCTATGGGGATCAATAAAGTCTTATCTTATCTTTCTCAGCTACACAAACAGTTTAAAAAAAGAGACTGAAATGTGTGTTTCAAAGGAATGGACACTTCTGCTCATACACATATGTTAAGCAGCTTATATCAGGCTATTAATAAGATTAAATTAGCTGACATTCCTATTGACACAGTGGACCTTTGAAAAGTCTGAGCCCTGAACTTACCCTTGGACATTTCTCCGTGTTGACTTCAGTGCACCCTTGTATCAAACACACAGAAACCAAACCCCCTGCTGGTTGTGTGACTGGTTTTGCTCACTTATGCAGAGTGTTTTTGTCTACATCACAGCCTCTATTTAGCCATACAATCAAAGCTAGCAGGCGGTCAATTCTAATTGTTTCCTAGCCAAGCAGTGTAACTGGTACCATTGGAGTCTGATCCCCTCCCACCCTGTCCATTGTTTGATACAATTAAACGGTGTTGTATGACCTAAAGATCATTTTGCATATGATTTGCTAGCTAGCTCTCATTAGTTCTTCTCCGCTGCCTTACACATTGTTGCTTTCTAGATTTGACGATAATGATTTACTGGCGTGCAGGCTTTGAAAACCATATCCTTTCTTGTGAGATAAAGGCAGGCTGTGCAACCAATCATATCACCAGGGAGAAAACAGGCTTTTATATTCACTTCACTATCAAAAGCATTGTGCCCAAGCCCTGTGATTCATGGAAAATGAAGGATGTGTGATGGATGTTGACTCAACTGCCTCTGGTAATTGCAGAGCTGTTTTTGTGTCTGGTTACCAACGCCTGTGCCACACCTGCTTTTTTCCATGGGCAGAAGGAGGCAATGCTTAGGGAAGTAGACAGCACTGACAACACTTGGAAACATAGACATTGGTGCAAAAAAACTGTGGTGTCAGTAGGATTAAAAAGTGTTAGTCAGGCGGGCCACATCCTCCTTCCGCATAATCATTTCTTTGTATTGAATTTGTGTGAGACTTATTGCGCTGTATTTTGGGAACTAGTGCAGGTTCTGAAAGTAGGATGATTGTAAGTCTAGTGTGTGTCTGAATCAAGCAGCCAAACGTGTGTGTGTGTGTGTGTGTGTGTGTGTGTGTGTGTGTGTGTGTGTGTGTGTGTGTGTGTGTGTGTGTGTGTGTGTGTGTGTGTGTGTGTGTGTGTGTGTGTGTGTGTGTGTGTGTGTGTGTGTGTGTGTGTGTGTGTGTGTGTGTGTGTGTGTGTGTGTGTGTGTGTGTGTGTGTGTGTGTGTGTGTGTGTGTGTGTGTGTGTGTGTGTGTGTGTGTGTGTGTGTGTGTGTGTGTGTGTGTGTGTGTGTGTGTGTGTGTGTGTGTGTGTGTGTGTGTGTGTGTGTGTGTGTGTGTGTGTGTGTGTGTGTGTGTGTGTGTGTGTGTGTGTGTGTCCAGGTCCAGGTCCAGTAAGTACCTGGAGTGTGTACATTAAACAGGAAAACAATTTGTTCCCAGCGTCAGGGTTCTGATTCCAAGGCTCAATGGAAAGGTATTGCACTTAGTCAAGTGGTCTTTTAATTGGTGTGTGACTGCTTCTCCAAGTGGCTTTCTGACATTAAACTATACGTTGTAAGAGATTAAGGTAACTAATAAGTAGAAGTTATGCAACATACTGTACTTCCATAATTCCTAGACACACACACTCTACTTTCTTAGGACACAGATTTTGACAGCCCCTCGCAAGCTCCTTGCAGCCTCTTGCTAGAATGTAAATGGGTCCTTAGTTGCATCTCTAAGTTGTGAAACCCCGGCAGAAGGGCGTCTAGAAAACCAACTACTGGCTTTGTTACTCATACAAATGTGTCTGACCTTTTTTTTCTCCTGTTGCCCTTTCAGTTTTGCCAGAACTTCCTACATCAGAATGAAGGAACGGACAGATGCTCCTCAGGACCGGTGAGTTTGATGCAAGTGAGACTCTCACTTCCCCCTGTTTGCTCTCGACCAGAGTTCCTCACTGTTGTTTTGCTCTCGACCGCAGTTTCTGTGTCAGGCAAGGATGTAACATTTCAATACTTCAAATAATTATACTTCAAATAATCCCATCTCAAATATTTGTATTATGACATATTGTACTCATTTTGACATGGATATTACAGAAATCCTCTAAGTACCGTTAGAAAATAGAGTTTTCCATGAAGACAATAGCTAGAGTTTTATCAAGAACTGGAGATGGCTCTTTAATACAGCCCTCTTGTAGATGTACTGTAGGCGGGTAAAGAGTGAAGTTTATATGGGGTCAAATTAGAGTGGTGCTGGTTTACAAGCTGCATTGTTTACAAGCTGCATTAGGCGCGTTCACACCAAGTACTTTTCCCACAGTAGTTCCTGAGAACTTTAGTTCATGAGAGTTCTTTTAGTTCTGACGAACTAAAGCAGATCGCGTTCACACCAAAATGAGTTCCTGGGGGTGGATTAGGCAAATGAGCCGCTGACGTCACTTCTTCTTCTTCTGCTTAGCTTTTCCTGGCAGGCCGCAAACAACTTCACGGCGAGTACAGTAGGTGGCGGTATGCACCTTAAAGTTGCAATCCGCCAAAAAACCGAGAGAAGAAGAAAAAAAACTTCCGCTTCCGCTGTATGCTTCTGTTTACCTTCCGACCTCAGTCAGACACGCTATGGAGTTGACTGAAGTTGTGGTTTTGGTGCTGAGTTATTTAAGCCAATAACTCAGCCACAAATACAGATCGCGGTTAAGAAGCCTTAACAAAAGGACTGGACGGCGACAAGCACACGCTATGGACATGTTTCGTCAGCTGAGGATGATGACCGTTATCACGCCCAAAGAACAGCAATGGTACGTTCAGTAAATCACATTAATACTATCTAATGTAGGATTTATGGAGTTATGTAGGGCTAATTTGTGTCTTTGTATGTGTTCCAGATATGCGGTGCTTGATGAAGCGAAACGACTGCAACATGGACAATATCAAAATCCAGGTGGCAGCATGTTGCGTATTGCATAACCTGTGTGAGCGTCGTGGTGATGAGTACAGGGAGGAATGGACTGCCTTACCGGCGACCCAGCTTGATGACAACCATTCATATTTTTTTGTTTATTACAAATTAATGTAAAATATACACAAGTGTCTTGATTAAATGATTGTAGAATAAGGATTTTGGACGTTTGCCCTGCAGCCATGAATTGCATTAAAAGCAGCAAGAAACTTTGAATTGATTTCATTTTATACACATTTATATCTGAGTAGGCAATATCAATATAATCAATTACTGTAGTACATGTCATTCATTTATTTGTGATATAAAGTCTGTGCCTAGGTGGTGCATATTCTGGAAAATCAATTGAGAAACAAAAAGAACAATCTGAAATTGTTTAAATGACTTCTGATTTGTCTGACCATAGGAAAGAGTTAGATAAGAAATAATACCACTAACATGTCTGTAGTATTGCACAGTAAATAGGCTCAGCAGTTAACACCTTTATTATATATCCTCCTATGTTCCCTTACTATAATTAATTAAAATATTGAACTCACAACACTGTTAATTACAAACTTAACCATTTATCTTTCTATAAATAGTGTTTGTGTTGATGGACGCCATTTTGAAATACAATTGAATGATCTTTTTCAAAGACACATATATGGGGTGGGACACAATAAATAAAGCTTCGCCAGTTTCATGGTGTCATGATGGTATCAGAATAATCACTTACATGTGATGTATAGGATGCTACACAGGTCACCATAAAGTGTCAGGAGAAATAAGCAAGATACATTTTCTGTTTAATCGCAATGTAGGTTCTCTTATTTATCAGCAGCAGATCAATAAGTGTCAGTATCAAAACAATATAATAACAGGGACACAACGACATCCTGACTGCAGTGGGGTTTGAACCTGTGCTCCCCTGATCCGAACACCAACGCACCAGACCACTGCACCACACGCCTCCCAACAAGTCATTGTACAGTTTATCAACGACGACAAGTTTTTCTTAATTTTTGTATTGAAGGCCTGTTGGATTTAATCAGCTCGCTTAGCACTGCCAGAAGCCCAGCCTGAAAGGTATTTTGTTGCTCCACCTGGCGCGCCGACACCTCCACCTGGCGCCGCCGAGTCAGCATGGCGCTGCATCAACATGAGCAGCTGGTCGTCCGATTCCTGGGCCTTGTGTGAATGCAGCAGCCGTTCGTCGTGCATCTCCTTGGCACGCAGGTCCTCATTCTCCTTGCTGACCATGGCACGGCAGTCCATGGTGTCAAGGAAGCTGTCATCGCGTGCCCACTTTCCTAAGGTGAAATATGCAAGATACAAGATCAGTTTAATCGCAACAACGACACAACATTGTCCAAATACCAGAAGGGGAGCAGCCCATAACAGAGAGCCCCCCACGTCAGAGTCATCACTGTGGGCGATCTCCACCTCTGAGGCCCAATCCCAAACCACTCCCTCGACCCTACCCCTCCGTGACGGAGTGAACTCCGTCTGTAGCCACACTCGCAGCTCAACGAGGCTCCCTCCTGTCAGATGGAGGGAGTAAATACAGCGGCAAGCTTTGGGACAAACTCCCCTCTCTCCGGCAGAAACAGGAAATGCCGTAACTGTATGTAACAACGGTTTCAAATCAGCTTCTCTTAGACAAAAAATGTAAATTAATAACTCAAATAAAACTCCAAACATCTTTCATTGTGTTACTTTTTTGTAAAGCTCTTTTAGTTTTAAACCTGATGTTTATAAGCTTCTTAGTTTTTGCAACAGTCTGTAAATATACACAACTTTATAATAAAATGCACACATTTACCTTTTTCTAGACTAAACACAGGTATGATCCTAAGTTAAAAAAATATGAGGTTATCATGAGGTTGTTAACATCGCAGTTTATCAGTGGATGTTTGCTGGAACTACTTTTTAACAGCGTGTTTCCTGACGGACACACACAGCGTGACTCCGGTCAGGTAGAGACCGGTCTCAAGTCAGCACCGATGCAGACTCGCTGTTTGAGGGCTTGATAGCCCACTCCCCCTCCACACCTCTCCACACTCGTTGGTTTGGAACAGCACTTAATGTGGCGGACCCTCCGCGCGAACGCGCAAACGGAGGGGTAGTGTGTAGGGGTAGGGTGTAGCATGTCGTTGTGTCCCCGAGACACTTCACCCCAAAGTGCTCCTGTGGGGATTGCCCACAGTATTGAGTAGGTAAGCTTTGGATAAAAGCGTCTAACAAGTGACATGTAATGATTCAAAAAGCTTTTGGTGGCCATATTGAATAACAAACCAATGTGGTTTACTTGTTATCCACAGTTTAGCTGCTAAATGTTACCTTTACAAAGCTACGCTGAAAACACAGCAAAGTTCATATAACGGTATTAGGTTAGTTGAAACTAATATTTTTATAGTTAAACTCAACACTTTTCTTTGTGCTCCACATATCTAAATGTATAAAGTGTGTTTTCACCTCCGTTCCCTCCTGTTTGCTGCAGTATGGCAGCAGCGGTCAGGATGGGATCCTCTGTGATCAGATAGTGGTCCTGATGGTGTCCGCTGACCGGGCGCAGGCTGCCTACTCTCAGCGGGGGGGAACTGAACGTGGAAACTGTGTTTCTCTGAGGGATCCTCCATGTAGTCTGAGAAGCCTTCTGAGGAAACAAGGTCAAACTATTTAGGATAATACTATGAGAAGGAACAATGTTAAGCCAGTAAATAGAATTTCAATTACATTTCTACTTAAATGTGCAAAAATATTAGAACATCAGTCTTTGTGGCATGCAGGTAATCAACTGTTTAAGCTTTTACCATTAACATGTAGAATGAATGTTGCAAATTACTTGAAATTAGAGCAACTACAATCTATTGTTTACCTCAGTGTAGCCACACAGGTCCAGCTAGCATGCTAATTGCTAACGTTATATTATCGAGTTATCCCGGAGGGGAAAACTAGTTTCTAATCCTGAGAGAAACACCTCGCCTGAAACACACGATTAGTGCCATGAGTTAGTGAAGCAAATTACAGAACATTGCACACTTATTCACAAGTCAAAACGTGTTCATAGCGGGCATGGATGAGAATAGCTAGCTAGCTAGATGTTATTAGCCAGCTTGGACCTAACGTTAGCAAGTTCTACCGTGGCTAGCTCGATCTACTGAGCAAATAAAAGTACATCTAAGACCAGTATTGTGCAGATTAAAACAGTGCAGTGCATGTATTTTATTTTACCTTGGTAGTCGTCCCGACATGACTGTGCCAGGTCTGCTAACTTTGCAGAGCCACAGAAACTGCATTCAGTAGAAGCTTCGGAATGTGGCGCTTCGCGTCCTCCGAGTCAATCGCCAGAAGCGCAGACACATCCTCATCCTCATCACTCCACCGCTCCAATTGATTTATTTAGTGTTGCTATAATAACTGCTTTCACAAAAGGAATCTCTTCGTGTGTGCTGCGAAGCGAGGAAATACAATGGCCGCTTACAACAAAAAATTCTGAGTCAAACGGGCGTGGTTTGCATTCCGCACAGCCAATCAGACGTACGAACTACTTTCTCCCACGAAAGACCCTGCTCTGTGGCAGGGACTGAAAAGCGAGTCTCGCGAACTAAGTTGAGCTACTTTAGTTCCTGGGGCTTTTTGGTGTGAACGCAAATATATCGTAGTTCTGATGAACTATTGTGGGAAAAGTACACCAAAGTACTCCGGTGTGAACGCACCTATTGTTTCACGTGCATGTGAATCTATCCTGCATATAAAAGCACTTGAAATCCAGCTTTGGAAAGGTACCGTAAATAGAGGTTATATCAGAATGTTAATTCAAGTGGTGTCAATGGATTAAAACATTTCATAATTAATTATGATAATCACAAGTTTAAATATTAGTATTGACTTGTATTTTGGTGGGAAGTGAGGCAAAAACGTATGAGATGTTGTAGTAAAGAAATGAATGACAAACTAGAAAGAGAAATCGGAGGGTTTTTGAATTCACTATTACATGATTTCTGAATTATTGGCTTAGAGTGCGCCAATTTTCCTACACTAAGCTTAAGCATTCCCCTCTGTATAATGCGAGCTACACAGGGCATATTCTCTCTACCGCTATCATACTGCGAACACTTACTGTTCCCACTCCTCTACAACTTCAATAAAAATGGCGAGTGCATGGTTCAGCAAAATGCCTTTCTCCTCCGTTTCTACCACACTGAAAGTGAACGAGTGCAGAACCTTTTTGTCATGGTTAAGCTGTGGTGTTACACAGAGTGGGTGATGGTTTTTACTGACGTCTAGTGATCTCCAGTCAAATCAATACAGGAAGCTTGTACCAGCTCTCATCTGCGCTGGATATGTAGGATGTAATTGGGGTCAAACTTTGTAATATGATACATTTCCAATATTTTTTTTGACGCATTAATGTTTCCAGAATAATCGCGAGCCTTAACGCTTCAACATTGACAGCCCTTGTTGATACATTACATTTCCAGTACTGCTACATTCTGTATTGTAAACCATTTTCAATGTATTGATCTTTACTTCGCATGTACAGGGGCTGCCTGGTGGGGATCTGTTTCTTCATTCTGGGCCTGGGAACGCTGCTACCATGGAACTTCTTCATGACTGCCTCATTGGTAAAAACATGGCAACGACTTAATCCCTCAAATACAGTGGAACTGACCCATTATCTGCGCCTTTCGATGTTTTATAACATGAACAGAAACAGACTCAGTCAAAAACATGGTAGTTTCTCATCATTTCCCATTCAGATAGAAAATGTTGTGGTTCCTCACTTGAACCTCTTAAAGAATCACATGCTAAATGGATGACTACGGCTTATGGATACTAATCTCTTTCAAGAAAATATCTAGATTGTGTAGGGTGTTAAAGGGTAATGACCTATAGCGACCCATACATCCAGACACTATCATATGACTCTAGGTAACTATGTGGCTTATCTCAGTGGAACATGTGATCCACATGGTAGGGCTTTCACCAACAACTCCTGAGGGAAATATCGAAGTGAAACGTATTTCATATCGCACAGTCATCCATGTCATGTTTGATGTAAAGGCAAATTAGTACAGCTTTCAAATAGGCAACAATTGAACTATTCCTGCACTTAAAAAGCAGAGTGGTCAAACTGGTTTTATCGGAAGTAAATACAGGTTCATTGCCAACTAGGTTTTCACTTACTTATAAACATTGTAAGAGAAATAAAGAGCAATAATATTGCATGAAATGTATATAGCAAAAGTCAACATACATAAATATGCAATAGAAAAGTTACAATAAAGTAAGGACAAAATACTTTAAAAGGTATGTGCAATATATCTGTTGTGGTCCAAAAGAGCATTCTGGGAGTTGTTTTGAGTGAATAAACTCAATTGGATTACAAATTATAAAAACTTGACTGAACTTGTACATTTAAAACAGAATAGAATGTTAAGGTGATGCTGACAACAATAACTCATTTTCCATGGTAGGTTGATATAGTATACTGTATTTGTATGCTGGTTTATTTGACATAGTAATAATCCAACTTCTCGTTTCCTCTGGGCTGCAGTATTTCCAGGATCGCCTCAACCCGACAGAATGGAGCAACGGCACCACGGTGGTGGTCCGCAAAGAGTACTACTTCAACAACTGGATGACCCTGCTGTCCCAGCTGCCCCTGCTGCTGTTCACCCTGCTCAACTCCTTCCTGTACCATAGGTCAGTGACACGGTTAGAAGGTCATTCAGAGTCAGGGGATGTTGATATCGGTACTCGCCAAAAGCTTTATAGGAAATAAAGCTGTTTTGCTATACACATAAGTATTTCAATCTTCCGTTTATGTTCAATAAAAGTAATGAATTGTTGTGAATCCTAGACTTTAGGTATTTGCCTTAACAAAGTCGACATATAACGTGTTTCCGTGCCAAAATATTTGTCTGTGGTGTATATAGGACTGGGCAATATGAGACTTGATATCTTGTTAGAACTGAGATATTGTAATATCTTAAGTGTTGTCTTTCCCTGGTATGAAAGGCTGCATTACAGCAAAGTGATGTCATTTAAAAACTGTTTTTATTGACATAACCCAGTCATTAAATCTCCATTACTCATGATTATTGATCAAATACATCATTGTGTAAATAGTCTACTAAAGCTCCAATGGTGATCTCTACAAAATAAATAATATGTGAAATAAATGAAGTTTATATCTTATCCATTTTGATGTTTGATGTTTCTTTGAATGACATATTTCTTGTTTCAGGATATCAGAGGCAGTGCGCATCGCAGGCAGCCTGGTTTTCATCCTGCTGCTCTTCATCCTCACAGCAGTGATCGTCAAGGTGCCCATGGAGGAAGATCGCTTCTTCTCCGTCACCATGGCTACTATCTGGTTCATCAACTGTAAGTCAGTGTGTGTGTGAGAGTAGAAGCCTGAAGGCTGAGAGTGCATGTGTTTTAATTTGATGTGATTTGATTTATTTACAAGTTTTAAAAAACACGTACAATCATAAGTCATAATGGAGAAATGTGAAATGGATGAGAATAGAGGCCCAGACTCTAAACATAAAGTATTTACGTAATTGTAATGAATCGGTCAGATCTCATGTATTATACAGAAACATTTCAAGCTAAACACCATCCACATACCATACAACTAGACTTATCTAACACTAACTCCTAAATGGTCCCAAGACATTTGTTTCATCAGTCTAAACACAGACCCATTACAAGGGAAAATAATGGTATATATATATATCAGGGTTCGTACGGTCATTGAAAACCTGGAAAAGTCATGGAAATTCAAAATGCAAATTCCAGGCCCTGGAAAAGTTATGGAAAACAATATTTTTCCCAACATTTTGGAAAAGTCATGGAAATGTAACTAAAGTTGCGTCAAATATAATTTACATTTGATCTAATCGCCGAAATAATCTGCGGTCGCGAGCTGTTATGTGCCATCATGACGCGCATGGTGTTATTTTTTTAATATATGAAGCGCGAGCTGTGTGCTCGAGTCTTCCTGCCTGTCGGGCCGGCTGAACTCTGCTGCTCCGGGATGAGGGTCAGCTACATTATCTACGGTGCGTTCGTTAACAGTAACTGTGCGGAGTCACTGTGGCACAGACTGCGCCGCTGGTGAACAGCTGTTAGAACGGGCCGTTCAGGTGTTCAGAGCAGAGCGGCAGAGCGTGATGTGCACTGAAAAGTTTTTCTGTCGCAATATTATTTAAGGAATCGTTGAGCTAGCATACATTGTCACTATCTGCTAACGTTAGCTTTAGCCTTCGTTTTCTAATAGTTTTTTATAGGCTATAAACAGGTGGTATAAGTATAGATATTGTACTTTAGTAAAAGTAGAAGTACTCAGATCTTGTACTAGAGTAAAAGTAGAAGTACTCAGATCTTGTACTTGAGTAAAAGTAGAAGTACTCAGATCTTGTACTTGAGTAAAAGTAGAAGTACAGTACCCTAACCCTACTCTGTTTCAGTAAAAGTCCTGCATTCAAAATGTTCCTCAAGTAAAAGTAGAAAAGTATTCTCATCAAAATATAGTGAAAGTAGCGACAGTAAAAGTAGTCATTGTGCAGATTGGTCCATTTCAGAATAATATATATATGATATGATTGATCATGAAAGTGTTCTCAAAGCTGGTAAAGGTGCAGCTAGTTTGAATGACTTTGTATACTGCAGGGTAGCTTGTGGATTTACTCCAGGTGGAACTAAAGTCTGATTTAACACTTGATTATATTTCACATCATTCATCCACATCTGTAAAGCAACTAAAGGAGTTAAATACATGTAGTGGAGTAGAAGTACACCAGTTACCTCTGAACTGTAGTGGAGTAGAAGAACAAAGTAGCAAAACATTGAAATACTTAAATAAAGTACAAGTATCTCAAAATGGTACCCAAGTATAGTACTTGAGTTTATGAACTTAGTTACTTTACACCAGTGGCTATACAGATAGAAAGACTAAGCCTTGCACAGAGGCATGAAAATACATTTTCAAAATGCTCAACAGTCCTGCCAAAATGATAAACTGACTGCTACACAATTAAAATAAATGCTTTTATATATTTCTATTAGATGTGACTCTTTAGCATTTCTGTTATTATTAACACTGCTGCTTTAGTTGTTCTGACTGCTAACATCCTCTGTTATTCCTATGTTCCTGTTATGGGGTCGGGGGGGGGGGCTCGGATCCTTGTCACCTTTTTCATACCTGATGAGTTTGCATCCCTGACTACAGTTGCTTTAGTGTGTAGAAGCTAGTAAGCCTACTATTTGATTTGTTTTAGATAGGCACAACATGTTTCATATGCAGACCTTATTTTCCTGTTCCATGTTCAAATAAACAATTTTCAGTGGTAATTTTTTTTGGTCATGGAAAATTAGGTAAAGGTCATTGAGAAGTCATTGAAAATCATTGGTGAAAAAGTGTATGAACCCTGATATATATATATATATATATATATATAAACGCATTCCAGAGTAAGATAAACTTGTGTAAATCTTTAGCCTTTATTGTATTCAAACTTACTGACATACAGTATATGCCTAACAACTGCTGCCTAAAGCACTTTTAAAAATACATTTTTTATAGTGTTATCAATCTCACACCATACCCGAGGACCTCTGCACACCACACTAAAGCTTGTACATTTAAGTTTGCATTTTTTACATAAAAAATGTCCTAGTCTTATTGTATGCGACAGGTCCCACAGTCTGTCACTGAGCACATTAACTACATTCTACAGTACCTTGAACAGGAATGTGCTATGTCCCACCTTTAGGCGGCGTGACATCACTATGTACCACTGATGCTTCAATTGGCTTAGGCTGCGTTTCACTTCTCTTATTTTTCATTTCCTCGCTCCTCGGTCTCGGTCTCACCGGAAGTTGATTTGTCTGCGCCATCTTGAGTAACGTCCCAATGGCCTTATTTTTGCCGGAGGACCGAGGAGCGAGGAGCGAGGAGCGACAATGGAGGAGCTATAATCGAGGAACCACCAGACCATCCTTCGATGAAATCCTCAGATACTCGCCCCGCCCCCTTACTGTGTATCGCTCACTGATTGGACGGTGCAGCGCATGCACTGATCTGATGCTTCTTGACAGGAGAGCAGAGTTTCCCAGCGGAGTGAAGAAAACACATGAAACTCACGGGACTCACTCCTCAGTTTATACTGTGTTTTGTTTCAATTAATGCATCATTCAGTTACAAATATGTGATATATCTGAACAACAAAGTGGACAAAAATCATTTCATTCATTTATTGGAAACATTTTCGTGATCGCTTTTTTCGTTTTACATTTTCATTTATTGTCATTTCCATTCAGTCAGTCATTAAGTGCTATTTAACATGTTAATTTGCTACATATCCACACAAAGTGTGCAATCCAGTTAATGTTAATCTAACTGGGTTTTGATAGATAACATATCTCTTTTTCTTCTCACAATTATTTTATTTCTATTGTGCACTGTAATCAATATTAACCAAACTAATAGTTCGTTTATACATTTTAAGAATGGCGTTTATGTTTTTTGTGAATTAGTTCTTATTTTATTTTATTTATTTGGGTCTACAACAGATGATACACATGTTTGTGTCAGTAAATGTGTACTAACAGAGGCGAGGGTGTGTGTGAAAATAACGGGGACAGAGCTGGCTGCTGTCAGACGATCAGCTGTGCAGCGTCATCACAAACGGACGTCGCTTCACGTGACGCTCCGGAGGAAAGGACGTCCCATTGCACTTAAAACTCATTTCCCTGCTTCTCGTGGTTTCCTTGCGTCTCTCCATGCTTCCCTGGTGGGAGGGACTAGTCACAGGGAAACGACGCAAGTGAGGGACGCAAGGAATCCATTTAACCGAAGTGAAACGCAGCCTTAGGCTTCAACACATTGTTTGTTATAGGCTAAGGGGTGGGACATCTCTAAGCAGTTGACCAATCAAAATAAATCCTCTTCTGCTGCTGGCACTGGAGCCTTTGAGCTCAGGTGCACCTCGTAGAGCAGCTCGTCACAATAATGCAGCACACCTGGGCGGAGCTACTGGAGGGGGAATATGCACAGGGAACACATACAGCCGTAACCATATACAGTCTATTGCCGTTACACACGTAAAAGACCATGATAAATGATGCTTTTTCTCCGCAGCCTTCGGGGCCGTGCTGCAGGGCAGTTGTTTCGGCCTGGTGGGTCTCCTGCCTCAGAAGTACAGCACGGTGTTCATGAGTGGCCAGGGCCTCGCCGGGACCTTCGCTGCCATCGCCATGCTGCTCGCCATCGCCAGTGAGCCACCCACACACACACACAAAACTCCCCCTGGTGCCAAATCCCCAGTTGCTTAGTAACAGAAGACATTCAAAGCGGCTGTCAAATCAGCGTGACACCACACAGCACACTCTGTTTCATTTCAAAGACACGGCGCATGTTTCTAATCAGCTCTCTTTACGTTTGTCACTCAGGCGACGCGGACTCTGAGACGGCAGCGTTGGGTTACTTCATCACGCCATGTGTCGGGACGCTGGTCACGCTGGGCAGCTACGTCCTGCTGCCCCGCCTGGTCAGTTCCCAACTCAGCACTACATTACCCACAATGCACTCAAACTTACCTTAACTAGGCTATCATCTCTTTTGTTGAACCATGATTTGTAAATACACAATCAGGCTTTTTAAGAAAGTGTTTGCTTCATTTATTGGGAAAAAAATGTCTGTAAAAACTTCAGCACACATTTAAATAAATAAATGAAGAATGAAATAATCTACTTCTAGTTTATAGTGCTATTAACCAAACAGCCTCAATCATGTTTTTACTTGTTTCCATGTTTTATTTTAGCTGTGAGTTCAAATGTTTGCTGTCTGTTGCTTCCACACAGGAGTTTGCCCAGCATTATCTGAACAAAAGCGTCAAGTATGAGGCAGGCGCCACGGACGAGTTGCTGAAAGGTGGGATTTTGGCTTCAACAAACTCTTTTTCACACCCTCTGAATTAATGCTATTTGTATCCAAGTGGGAACCAAAGGGACACCTTTCATCATCTGTTCCAATTTTAAAGTACAAGCTCTTTTTGTTTGTAGAATCAAGATAAGGAAATGTTTGTCTGACAGTGAGAGAACTCGTTTGCTTTGCGACTTAGTCCATGATTCTGTGCCTCACTGTCTGGTTGAATGTAACCCATTCAGTGGACATTATCTCGTTAAGTGAGTTGTCCCTCCATTTATCCAATTTAGAGTCCTGGCAGACAAAGAGTCCCTCACTCAAAGAGGCCCACACTGTGGTTTTTGGCTGTTTTCTTTGGATGCTCAAAAACTAATAATTCACAAATTCCCATGTCATATTTGATCTATTTCCTCCAAATACATTATGAACAACAACCATTTGATGTGGTAATGGAACAGAGAATAAATGTTGAATTTCAGAGAGCAGCACAGTGGAGAATGGCAAGCTGAACGGCCATGCTAACGGCACAGCGACCATCAGCAGCCCAGAGGGGGGGGCTGAGGTGGAGGGAGACCCCGGGACAGAACGGCCCAAGCCCGCCTTCCTGTCGCTGGAGCAGGAGGAGAAGGGGCAGGCCAAAGCCTCCGTCGTAGAGGTCTTTAAGAAGGTAACCCTGAGGTTTGATGGTACAATTTAACAGTTACTCTTTTCTGTGTGCTTCACATTTATTCACTGCTGCAATTCTTTGAAATTGGTTTAATTAAATGTCAATTTAAGTGTTAAGTTCAATCAGTGGTTATTCATTAGATTTGACTGTGACAACAAGACTTATCTCAGCTACTACACAAGGTGTTGTTTTTCTCCCAGGGCTCTCAGGGTTGGGCCTGACACAGATAAACACTGGGTTACACCCTTGGGAACACGTTATGAAGTAGCTGAAAGATACTGGGAAAGAAGATCCTTTTGTGTTTATATGTAGCCTGAGGCGCCGTTTACACGAGGAGAAAACTGCTTGTATCTGCATAGTTTCTCTTGCGTATAGCCCTATTATTTACACGAGGCCGATAGAAACTGACCCCACAAACGATAACGGGTCCCAAGGTGGATAGATTTGCAAACGAAACGCTCTGGGGGGTCAACCGAGTCCGTGTAATCACCTCTATACGAATATTTCCTGAAAAAATTGCGATAGCCCCGCCTCTCCCCACCTCTCCTGCTCACTGCTGTAGCAACTATCAAAAATAGCTGTGATAATTAAACGCACAAGGGGTTCTTGAATGAAATAATATTATAAAAGGCAAACCAGAATTGTTAACGCCCAATATACTCCTTAAACAAAATAAACAGAGTCAGATTTCATGCATTGATCCATTATATTGACAAAGGAGCGATCTCACCCGGTGTTTGTAGAGATTATCTCTCTTTCTGAGCCGTCCTCTCCACAGAGACGTGCTTCTTGGTCGGTCGATGCAATATCCACAGATTGGTTTCTTTCAGTTAACTTCCCCGTTGCATTTATCCATATGCTGAGGAAATGACTATATCCCGCTGAATACCAGCAATCGCCACACACACTTCCTCCTGTCAGTAGCTACTGCTAGTGCTACTGCTACTGACCATACTACAGATGTTAGTGCAACATCTACAGCTCCTCTACCACAACCATCAGCAACAAGTGGACATGGAGAATTACATGAACTACATGTTGCTAAATACACCGCGGGGCATAAACAGAAGGGTAGCCATGGCAACATTGCTGCGGGGCTGCTCCAGGCTGCTCTTCTTCGCTGCTTTTGGTGTATTTTGGCGGAAGTTACAGCGCCACTTACAGTCCAGGCATATGTACTACAGCGTTTCCAGCGGCCTCGTTTGAACAGACACGTTAAATGAAACGAATGCATGTGAACGGAAGACTTTTTTGAATACGCATACTGTGCATAAACGCAAACGTTCCCGTGTGAAGGAGGCCTCAGAGACCTAAGCACCGATTGGTACAGAGTACACTCAAGGCAAAATACTATTCAAATCTCCACCACTGATGTAGAAAATAAATGAGAACATAAGAGCAGAGTGGAAAAGAGGGTACAGGTTTCCATTCTGCTATAGTTCTTATTGATGTATATGTGCGTGTTGCAAATAGGGATACTGATTCAACTTTTTTCGATACAAAAATAAGTTTTATCATGTCTTGAGGATTCTATCCATTACATTTATTTTTGTATCACTTTTTTTTACTTCCCTTATTGTGAAACACTTTGAGCTGCATTTCTTGTATGAAAGCATTTAGAATCAAAGCATCTAAGTCCCATTAAATGTATGAAATATTTTGTCTGTTTTCTTTGGTTTAGATCTGGGTGATGGCGTTCTGCGTGACGTTGTGTTCACGGTCACTCTGTCCGTCTTCCCCGCTGTCACTGTAGATGTCAAGACCTCCTTCCCAGGAAAATGGGGTATTTCCAGTTAGATCTCTGCTCAACTACTGGATATCTATACTCATGTATTAACAGTTTATCTCTTGTGAAATGATTACATCTATTCCTCCTGATGCTTGTTCTCCCCTCAGAGCGCTTCTTCATCTCAGTGTGCTGCTTCTTGATTTTCAACCTCAACGACTGGTTCGGTCGGACCGTCACCACTTTCATATGTTGGGTGAGTATCTAATAAAACAATTTCTACATCTACTCTTTATATATCTGTAATTTGAGTTTAACATAGGTCACAAAGCATGTTTTACAATGGAAATTGTGTGTATGTCACTCCCTGCTGACATTTTTAAATATTGCACACGCAAGGAATGTGATAGTTTAGAATGAACTGTAAGATATATTGCCTTTCCCTCTCTTATTCTTTTTAAAAACATCCCCAACTGTTTCAAATCTACTTCCCGCCCTTCCTCTTTCTACCTGATGTCATTAAAAGCTTTTAACCCCTTGATCTCCTCCCACCTGTCTCCTCGCAGCCTGCTAAGGAGTCTCGTCTGTTCCCGCTGCTCGTGGTCTGCAGGGTGGTGTTCGTCCCGCTGCTGATGCTCTGTAACGTCCAGACCCGCTCCTTCCTGCCCGTCTTCTTCAGCCACGACGCTGCCTTCGCCATCATCATGACGCTCTTCTCTCTGTCCAGCGGATACTTCGTCTGCCTGTCCATGTCCTACGCTCCTCAGTGAGTCCAAACTACTGAATCTTTCATGCATAGATGTGACATTAAAAACACACATGTCAATACTCGTCCATAGTTACAACTGCACAACTATAATAACTCTCATATATGTTTTTATACGATTTATTCTTATGTGGTAATCTTTTGGTTCTGGTTTAATGTTGCTACGTCATACCTAATACTGCTGTGTCAAATGTTGGTTTTGCAGCATACCCAACTACAGTATATTGACTGTTTGTTGTTTCAGCTCATCATGTTATGTTCAAGGATGCTCCAACCTAAGAGGGTTTCAATGTATGAAGCTTAATAATATAGTTACAAATGTAATACACCCAAAAAGAGACTTTTAGACAGAGCTAAGTTTTGTTTGCAGACATTAACAATGCTTTATAAAACTGCACCATGTTGTCATACGTATTGTGGGTTTTGTTTTGTTCCTTAATGGAGATTTTACAAAAGAATGTGCATTAAAATAACTAACATTAACTCAAGTGGAAACTAAATATGAAAAACATATAGAATAAAACCATAGAAAATACTCCAACAATTGATCCCCACTTCAACCATTCTTACTACTCCTGTGAATGTTTGTAGCTTATGATTTTAAATAGTTTCATATCATTTCAGGCACACATCCAGGTCACCCTGGCCTACTTATGGACGCTGAATGCCTGAATGTGAAACAGCAGCAGTGGAAAGGTCGGGTTACACAGCTGTAACTGAATACAGCTGTAGGACAGTCAACAGTTAAGCTGAGACCAGTGAGTTAGAACAAGCAACTTTAACTTCTTTACAGAGAGGTAAAGTGTCATTAACAGCTTAAGAATTATAACCTTAAATGTACTCAGGAAGTGTAAAGACCTCAGCAGTGTCAGAATATTCTGGAAATGGTTTGCAGGAATCTGCTGGAAAGCATGTTGTTTTAGGACATGGACCCTACAGACATTTGAATGTAAAATATGGAGGCATTCAAATGTCCAGGGAAATGATAGGGAAACAAAGAAGCGGCAGACGTACTGAATACCAACACGTTTATTAAAGGGGCCCTGTTGTGCTTTTGGGGCTTTTCCCTTCCCTGTAGTGTGTTGTATAGGTGTGTGTGGTTCTGTATAGGTTTCTGCAAAGGCTGAAATCCATGTGTTCCCTCCTGCCTGAAACGCCTCCGCTGGACTCCTTTTTCTAATCCACCCTAGGCTGAATTTGCTTAATTGAACTGTATTTAAATGCATATAAGCTTTCCATATGTTTGTATTTTTGTTTATTTTTATACTATTTTATTTGTAAGTCGTGGAGTAAAGCCAAAGATGATTTCAACATGTTGGACGGTAATGATTCTAACTTAAAATATACCCCATAAAGCAGCAGCAGCCAACTAATAATACATCTCTGAGTCCCCTTGAACGCAACAACAAGGTGTGTCCAAAATGACTTCTGTTTGAGCTCTATCACCATGGCAACATTGCGTACCTGCGACACAAACAACAAGCCGAGCCTCAACAAAAGCCCCAGTGTGGTGATCATGTCTGACCCTGTGTTCCTCCGTCCTCAGGCTGGTGGATAAGAAGGACGGAGAGACTGCTGGAGCCCTGATGACCTTCTTCTTGGCCCTCGGTCTGTCCATAGGAGCCGCCCTGTCCTTCCCCCTGAGAGCTCTGGTCTAGTCTCTCTCACACACACACACACACACACACACACACACACATACACATACACATACACATACACACACACGCACACATGCACACATGCACACACGCACACACACACACACACACACACAGCACTGCATAAACACCATAGGATTTGTTTTGTCTCTCCAGGACGACTTCCTCCCTCCTTTTATCTGTCAGGTGCTGTGTGTGAATTGGCACACTGGGTGTTAAAATGAGCGCCAGGGTTCCTGTTGAAAGTAGGAATAAGGAATAAGGGATAAACGGTATGAATGGTTTTGTTACCTGCTGCTAACACACATGTTGGGAAACACTTCCTCTCCGTGCAGCTGATACAGGACTGGTTTTGTTCAGATTTCTACATTGTTAGATGTATTTATGTTTAATTAAGGTTAGTCACTTTAGGGCATTACGCTATATTTTTGTATTTGATTGATGGCTTGAATGCTTTGTGTTATCAGGTATTTCTGATGTATTTTCCTTCATATGATTAGTTTTTTTTTAATACAATAGATTTATGTTACGGAAGTAGAACAAAAAATGATTTGTAATATAGTCATGTTAAATTCCCAATGGAAGGTTAGGGACCCGCCTCAAAGGCTTGTGTAGATTGATAAACAGGGCCAAGCAGTCGGGGGCCCCGGACCCCTGTTCGAAGTGACAGTATTTCCTGTTGCAAGGTAAATCCAATGCCATATAGACACTGTCATTTCATGTCTCTGTGGTAGTTTCAAAGACATGTACACTACCACAAAGTGGCGCAAAATGAATACAAAACACATACAATTACTACAAAGACATACAAAACTAACAGATATAAATGCAAAATGAACAAAAAGACAATAATAATCATTTCACTTGATCAGTTGTTTCTTTAGCCTCTTGGCCTCTTGGCTACTACTGCCATCTACTGGTGAACACATGTAAACCCTTCAGGAATGAATTTGCTTTGAGGTCACTGCTGACAGACAGGAAGTGGACCTGGGTTAGGGTTAACAGGTTATATGAGTAGGACCACATTCTTCTGCTGACATGAGGAAGTAGATTAACTCTCAGTTACTGTAACCGCTGCAATTTTGTTACTAACTGTACAAATGTAGTGGTGCTGATGTTGCTGCAAGCCATTCAAAAAAACATTTGAATCATGTGGAAATTAGATTATTTTTTTTGTACAGATATTGAATTTAACTATGTCAAATAGTATTGGACTTTTTTTAGACATTGCTGCCAATGTGCCAAGCTCCAATGACAGTTTTGTTATGATTTGTTTTCTTATTGTAGTGCACAAATGTATAGGAATCAACTTAATGTAGATTTGTTTATGTTTACGATATCTATATAGGTTGAATTGATTGCTTACTTTATAAGCGTTCATTTATGAATCAAAGTGTTTTTATTAGATTTTGTGATGATGTAAATAAGGAGATTCATGATGAGTGTGAGTTTACTGTCTCATGTAAAAGGGGAAAATTGACCGCTGCTGTTTCAAATGCACCAAGGGCTGAGTCCTGATGAAGGGAGCTATATTAATGGGACGTGTTCTTTTTAGAGGTTACTTGATTCGTGCTGTATTCACATTTAGTGGGAATTTGAACTGAACAAACATGCATTTATATTTGACTTGATGGTTTACAGCAAACAACTAAGGCAATGTAAGCCCAAAGTAGACAAACACATCTGCAGGTGATGAACAACATCTTTCAGTAGGAAGTGAGGTGAACCATTTTTCTGACAGAATGTGAATGCAGCATCAGTTTTTGGGAAGGAGAACTCGGACCATGATTTAACCCCGGGATCCTTATGTGTAGTTCAAAGACATAACTCAAGCGTTTGAGCACTAGGAAAAGTGCTCTACAAATCCTATGTATTATAAGAAACAAACAAAACATTTTTCCCTTCTACTTCTAAACTTGACGAATGTAGGTTTTTGGATTTACCTGGAAAAGAATACAACAGTATGTAACAGTGATGATCAGCCTTAATAATAATAAAACCCAGTTTTAAGTTTTATGTTGTGTTCACATCACATTGACTGTAAATACTGCTGTCTGCCTCTTTGTAGTGTGTGTGCTTGTGCTGCTCATTCCAGATGTGCTAACATGGAGCACAGAACAGTCCTCTAACATAAGCAACAACACCAGAGTAATCTTGGGTCCATGCATCCAAAGCAACATGTCATTCAAATGTTTTCTCTGGTGTGTGGGGGGCACATCCTTAACACTGCTGTCATGTGATCCATTATGTGCAGCTGACTTGTGCTCCATACAGACAGAGGATCATGATTCAACTGCCTGATCACTGAGTTAGAGTAAAGGGAATACATGCATGTGCATCATGTTTCTTTATAGATCTGACTGTCAATAAATGGATGCTTTCAACTAGTGTTTGTTGGAAATGGTCATTTGTATGCTGTTAAATGGGGTATAAGATATGACCTCAAACCTTTGAATCTGAAATGCTCTAAAACTATTTGTTTTTAAATTACCTGTGGACTTGTACTTTGTTAAAGAGGCCCTATTAGGATTGTTGGGGTATTTCCTTTCCAGTAGTGTGTTATATGGTTTTTATGTAAATGTTCTGCAAAGGCTAAAATCCCTGTGTTCCTCCAGAGGGAGTTTCTCTCCCACACACTTCTCCCCCGACACGCCTCCATTGGACTCCTTTGTTTACTTCTGTAATATCACATCACTGTGTTACTCACGCTTCTATTGGCTAGGCAGAGAAAACCCCAGAGAGCATAATAGGACCTTTTGAATTGTCTTGTATGAAGTCTTCTTGATTAACTGGTCTTTTATTTGGAAAGACGATATGGCTGGCTCAGTGCTAATCGACGATATTTTAATTATGAAAAATGAGTTCAGTAACCAATCTTAAGACAGAAACATGTCAATATTTATTATTTTTGATTTGCACATGTAAATTGAGAAATCATCACAATACCTGTACCTGTAACTTCTGTAAAATAGAGATGCACCAATAGCAATATCAGACATATTTGGGCACAAAAGTACATTTAAAATTAAGTGTAGTCCAAGTAATTTTTTGTTGCCAATTAAAATAATCCAAAATAAACCATTAAAGCCTGAATAAAATGATCTGGATTTGTACAGCTGCCAAAAAAATATGTATCTTCTTTGCTTCCTTGTGCTATTTGCATTTGATGTGTCACGTTTCAGTTTTCAAATGACCTCCCTGGAGAAGTGATTTAACGGGAATAACCACACAGAACATTGAGAAGTATTCATTTCCTGTATTATTTATTGAAAACCCAGCAGTCGTCATTAATACCTGTTGTGTCTGTACAGGCAGGGAGGGGGGAGGGTAAAGGAGATGTGGTAAACTAAACTAGTTGTCATTCTGTTGTCAAGGAAAAAAAAGCAAAAGTCAAAAACACTCTGATATGCTACTGAATGAAACCCCTGTATTGTTTTTCCTTTTAAACACTTGTTTTAAAAAAATGTTACGCAGATGCAGAGAGAAGAAGAAGAGAGTGACAGCAGCTCAGAGGGAGGTCAGGAAGAAATGAAGATGAAAGACAGGTTGGGGTGTCTTTTGAAATAGTTGTGTTCTGTTTCCCTCTGCCAAGTGTTGCTTTGACTTCTTTTGTGTTGTGGAAAGCCAACAGGAGACAATCTTTGACATTCATGTCTCTCTCTCTCGTTCTCTGCGTCTCTTCCTCCCTCTCTTCTTCATCGTTTCTTTGGAGGTTGGGCTGTGCGAGGAGGAGTGATGGGCCGACCCGAGTTCATCCCTCCATACTGGTACTTGGCTTTCTTCTCAGATGGCTTTAGGATCTAGGATAAGACACAGGAAATATTTTAACTCGCAGAAAAACGATCTGTTTTTCAAATGCCTCACAATCCAGGCCCAGGATTGTGTCGTGTCCTGAGTAGGAAATCACTCCCAAGTGTCCAACACTTCTCAAAGTGAAGCAATTTTGGGGCCTACAAGTCGAGTGGAGTTTTAACCAAAAGTATTATACTTTGCTACATGTCTAGTTGCGTGATTACAAGTCTTTTTAAAGAACTCACAAAGAAATTCAGTCAAATAAATCAGACTTAAAGAAGCTGATGGTGCGTTCATGAATGCGGGAGGGCAGAGCTCCAGAGAGGTGACGCTCTACTGACACTATAAAGAAGGCTACACAATACAATGTAGTGTGTAGCCTTCTTTAATGTAACAGGAGTGGCAGTATACCAGATACCATCGCAATACATTTTCTGTTGAAATAACACTACATTTAATTGTTTTAAATGCACATGGATTACAGATATTCTAGTACTCATTTCATCCTATTAGTAAACTTGCACCTTACTATACTTTTTTTAAATTAGGAAAACTCTCCAATTGTGCTGAGACGGTGTATAGGAAAAGGTGTTAATAATTCTATGGAATTGTTTTCACAAAAGGACAAAAGGATATGTCAACTTGTTTTTTAACTAAAGTGTGGCCCTATATTTTATTACTTTATTTTTGGCTCTTTATAATAAAAGTGCAGTTTGAGAGAATAAGATGCACCATAAAAATATGCACATTTTCACAGACTGTCATCTCCTAATTAATTTTGGCAACACATATTTGCATTTACATACAAATAACCTTGGTAAGTTACCCAGGTTTGTACCCATACTAAGTGATAAGTTATGCTGTTTCCCTGCACGCTAACTAGAGCACAGCCATGTCGGCACTTTGCGGTGACGTCCTACCTGGAAGGAGCACATCAGGGTTTCGTCCACGCTCATCATGCCGCCGGCGTTGTCGAACTCTCCGCAGTAGTTGGGAGCCGAGAACAGAGTCACCAGCTGCCGCTTGGCGAAGAACTCATAACCGTCTTCTACCACCTGGGGGCGCCAGACACAGAGTGAGTCATCGGAGAGCAGATCATAGACATCTGATATGGAGAGCAGCAGATCATGCCAATATGTAAACTGTAAATAGAACGTGTTGAACAACGAGGAAGCCTACAAATATCATTACCTGTCCTGTCCTGGAATCCATTTCTATTTATATAAATGGTTAAATGATAAGGGGACGTGGGTGGAAATGGAGTATTCCAATTAATTCCACTTTAATCGTCACACACCACCACAAAGAGAAAGTTAGTCTCTGTATTTAGGCCCCTCAGTAGTACCCAGAAAGTGAACTGGCTCAAACCACCAGTCCACTCTCCATACTTGGTCCGTTCTGGGATTTGAACCCGTGACCCTCTGTTTCCCAAGCCAAGTCTCAAGGACTGAGCTTCTGCCGTACCTGGTGGGCTCTGCAGATGAGGTCCAGGTCGTGGCGGTTCAGGAACTTGCTGACCACATCAGCTCCGAACGTGAAGGAGACGCCGCGGTCGTTTTCCCCCCAGCCCTGGACGTCCTTATCGGGGTCCGACCACAGCAGATCACACAGGAGGCCTGGCAGGAAGAGAAGAGAGGATATAAACTACAAAAAAAATCTGAGGAGGTCTTAACCGCTGCATTTAGGCAAGACAATTAGACCTGGTCCCCTCAAAATCAACAAGAACAATGTGCTCTGCTGTTCCAAACTGCTTTAGGTACATTTTATGTTAGATTTACATTATGTCAGGTATTAAAACATCAAGGCTGCCCATGTATATACTCACACACACATTCTTCACCTCCACTCTGAGTCTGTCTGAAGACCATAAGAGGGTCTGAGAGCCCGAGGCTGCTAGGGTCTAACACTGGCGGCCTTATAAGGACAAGAACAACCCGCTCTAGTGAAGAGGGGCAAACACTCACTTCCACTTTACTAGCACACATCCATCATCAGCGGAGGTTATTAGGGATAGAATCATGGTGTCAATGTTATAAATAAGTATATAGCACAGGATGCGTGCGTGTTTCTCCTTAAATATCAGCAGATGTAAAAGTTCCTCACTTAAGATAAATAGTTTTTACCCGGAGGGCTAAAAGTGGACCGAACCTGCGTCACTCTGAGCATTTTTGGCCAGTTAAGGCCGATTACTAAACCCTGAGAAGCTGGATAAATATTGCCCCAGGTTTGTTTTGACCCTTACCCTATCAAAATATGTAACATGGCAGGACAGGGTGATCATTCTTAACACAAAGTCCACTAGTTATGGAACTCCTATTACAAGGTGTTCCCTATCCATTTGATAAATATATTTGTATTTCTAAATACAGCTAAAGATACAGCTAGTAAGTATAGTAGTATTTGTCACAGCTGAATACTTCTGCTTTTAAATTAGATGATAAATCCACAACAATTAAAAATGCCAGGACCCGATCCTGTGTTATTTAAAGGATTAGTCGATCAACAGATTTTAGATTACTTGTTCAGGTATTTATTAGGCATAAAAGACAAAGATTCTCTAGTTATAAAATCATAATTGGGATAATTTGATGCTTTTTTAGACGTCATTGTACACTGATTATCTTTGGATGTGATGGTCGGACAAAATAGTTTGTAAAGATGTCCACTGGGGATGGTGATGGGCATTTTACACTATTTTTTGGACCCAATTATTTATCTAGAAAAAGAGTTACCAGTTGAATGTGAATGGAATCATTGATAAATGCATTTCAACGTTAATGTGACAAAGAACATGTTTTGTTGAATTAACATCAGTAGAGGAATACGTTATACTAGCAGTTTTAAAAGTGTGTGTGTGTGTGTGTGTCTGTGTCTGTGTCTGTGTGTGTGTGTGTGTGTGTGTGTGTGTGTGTGTGCGGTCCCACCTGTGTCGGGCACGTCTGTGGGTCTCATGATGCGTCTGATCTGCTCCATGGACTGCAGGTCTGGAGAGAGACCTGCACAGGGCGAGACGACACAAACCGTCACAGCTTCATCTCTCCATTAGTCTGCAGCAGGTATTAACCCATATCACTAATACTATTAACATGCTGCGACCCATTCACTTCACATCAGAGTCAAACCAAAAACACCAGAAGCTTATGAAGGTTCATTATCGTTATATTTCCTCCTCCAGATGCTGCAAATATCAGAACTCATGTGCCGGCCTCGTACCTCCGTGACAGCAGAAGATCTTCTCGTCCACGATGGCGGCGATGGGCAGGCAGTTGAAGCAGTCGGTGAACGTCTTCCACAGCTTGATGTTGAATCTGCGTTTACCTGCAACACCAACAGGGAGGTGAGTCAGGAGGCAGAGAGCCACATGAGGCTGTGAGAGAGGGGTTTAACACTGATCTGGAACAAAGGGCCAAGTCCTGTTTCCCCCTGTTCCACACTCAAATCGAATCCATTGACCAGGCCATGGATTTAGTGTATTCATAATATAGAACAAACTACAGGAGAGGGGAACCCCCCAAAATCTTTTTACATAAGTATCTCATTTCCTACATTTTAAGTTCCAAAAGTAACTATTTAATTACTTGGAGAGCAGGTCAAACGGTAATCTTAATGTTTTTTGTCATATGATTAGAATTAGGCTTATCACAGTATAGTCAAAGATATCACCAATTTAAAAGCAATACAAAACATCCCATTTGTTAACCATTTCACCCCCAACATGACTTTATTCTAGGTTTGTCTGCCTGCTTCTATATTGCAACTACTGTTCTGGTCACAGGTGTGTGCCAACATCTGTCCCACAATAAGACTTGGGGAGGAAGTGAAAATGAAACCCTCCCTTTCCATGAGAGCACTCACACTCGTCGTAGAATCCGTAGATGCGATTGATGGAGGCGCACTCGTGGTTGCCTCTGAGCAGGAAGAAGTTCTCGGGGTATTTGATCTTGTAGGCGAGCAGCAGGCAGATGGTCTCCAGAGACTGCTTCCCTCTGTCCACGTAGTCTCCCAGGAACAGGTAGTTGGCCTCTGGAGGGAAGCCGCCGTACTCAAAGAGCCGGAGCAGGTCTGTGTACTGTCCGTGGATATCACCTGGGGAGGGGGAGGAGGCAGTGAGGGGGGGAGGAAGTGGGAGCAGGTAATAGTCTAGTTTCCAGTCCTGAAAGGTTGAGTAGCCCAAAGATTTATGTTAGTAAGGGTCCCCAGCACATAGAAACTGCCGGATGCTAACCTGCTCGGCAATTTGCACAATTAGCATAAGTTGTGTTAATTAGCATTAATTACCATTATAGCCTGTGGACAATAGTTAAAACATGACTTTGAGGGTCATTGTCGAGGATGCTGAATCTATTTCTGATTTCAGGATCCATAATGCATCATTTAAAACAGAAAGTGGCCACATCTGTACTCTGTGGGCTGATTTTGATTCATCTTTGGGCGATTTTGAAGATTTAGTTGACTGGATCATTTGGATAGGACAGATCCAGGTGAAAGTAAACTCGACCCTCTCTGACACACAGGTCATAAGCACAGGGGCACCACAAAGCTGCGTTAGCTCTCCTCTTCTCTACACACATGAGTGTAGGAGTCAGCACACACACAACCATATTATAAAGTGTTCTGATGACACAGCCATACTTAGTCTACTGACTAGAGACTCAGACATTTCTATTTATAAACTTGAGATTGAAGAGGTCGTGAAGTGGTGTGAGGCGCACAACCTGGTGTTAAATGTTAAAAAAACAAAAGGAAATGATCTTTGACCCCAAGTCAGTAGGTGACCACAGCCCAGTCCTTATCAACAGGGAGGGAGTTGAGCAGGTTTCACGTTTTAAATATTTGGGGATTTATTTTGATGCTCAGTTAGGCTGGGCCCATCAGGTGGATCAGGTATGCTCAAAGATAAGGCAGCGCCCGCATTTTCTGCGTAGGCTCAGGGTTCATGGAGTGGATAAATGTATCGTGTTAATGTTCTACAGGGCAGCAATTGCGTCTATTATTCGTTATGGCATCACAACATGGTTTGGTAACTTGTTCAATCTAAATCACAACTCCAGAGCTTGATAAAAAGGGCTGGAAATGTGTAAATAGGTATGGACACAATAGGGATATGTGCAATTTGACGGACACTATGCATAGGTGCAATAGGGAAAGTGCAATATTGATTTGTGTATGAATGCAGTAGGGAAGGTGCAATATTTGATTTATGCATGTGCAATAGGGAAAGTGCTGTACCTGTATGCTTCTTGTTTGTTTCTTTGCCATGTGATCTCTGTTCTGTATCTATGACTGATTGACCTGAATGTTTTATGTTTATTATCTCGATGCCCAAGATAAATTTCTCCCAAGGGAGACAATAAAGCTCTATCTTATCGCTTATTTATTTGAAAAATAACTGTCCACAGTAGAGGTAATCATTTTCATTTTGTGCTCACAAAATCCAATGGTCGCAACACTACTCATGGTAGTCAGAATCAGCCCACCGATTTTGACTACCATGAGTAGCCAAAATCACAGTTTTATCTATTTTCTTGATAAAACTGCAATTTCTTATCCTGAAAATGTCAGATATGCATTCAGCATCCTCAATAACCCCCAAAATCATTCAAGAATTGTCCAAATCAGCAAAGCCATTTTTGTAACTATTGTGTGCATAGGCTCTAATTCAATCTATTGCTAATTAACACAACTTATGCTAACTGTGCAAATTGCCCAACATATGCAGGTTAGCATACAGCAGAGTCTATGTGCTGGGGACCCGTACTGTACATTTCTATCATAAAACTTTGGGGTACTCAACATTTCCGGGTTTAAAGTGCTATAAGACCATAATGAAACCCTAGAAGGAGAAACCTGGAGAATACTGACCACAGATTTTGAGCGGAGCCTCCAGCTCCAGCAGGATGGGCTGACTGAGGAAGATCTCCCGAGACTTGATGCACAAGCCGCGCACCTCGGCCTCCGACATCTGGACGATCTTCCCTGGACGACATCCTCGCACTGTGGAGGAGAAGGAGAAGGTTAACGATATGACTCTGTTGACCGTCACATATCGCTCACATCATCCCCGATAGGATGAGTTATGAAATGAACCTCAAACTAAATATGGGAGGCGGTGTTTAGGCAACAGGTGGAGGATGGAAATAGCTTGTGAAGGGACTGTTGATGTTTTTGGGAGTGCTTTGGAGAGGACTTCCTGTTGTGTAACAGGTAAAGAGAAAGGGGAATCCATGTTAGAGGAACAAGGGATGGGATCACATGTAGTAAGGCATCAGATGTGGAGGATTTGGAAGACTTGATAAATGAAGTCACTCCATTTATTCATCAATTAGTAATGTGGCCGTATGAGATGAATAAACATACAAATCAACATTCTGCACATCTATTAAAAACAGAATTTTTCACGAAATAAAGTATTCTATCTTAAACTATTAACAGGATAACTAACTTTAACGTTTAAATATCATTCCAAAATTATGTTTTCAATACCCTTACGACTTTTACACTGCTCCTATTTACTCGGCATACTAATGATCAATACAATAACTTCGCCTAAAAAACTACAGGCCAAAATAAGCAGAATTTTCGAAGTCAAAAGAAGTAAACAAGACTTTGAACACGAGAAGACAGTCAATACCTGGGACACACAAATACATATTTCATCCAGTAGCCAAAAGGTAGCAAAGTTGATGAATTGTATCAGAGCTTTTATTAGAAATGAATTGTTGCAGTCTGTTTTTAGGCAAAAAGATCTTTTCTGGTTTCAGATTATTTAGGTTGTTGGTCTTGCAAAAATATTAAAGGTCCCATGTCATGCTTTTCCGGTTATTACCCGTCCCCTTGTGTGTTATGAAGGTTTTTATGCATGTAAACGGTCTGCAGAGTCACAAACCCTCAAAGTACACCCTGTAGGGAGTACAACTCTAACACAGAAAAGACCTCCTCAAAACGCCTCGTTGGAGATTTCTCATTTTCTTCCTGGGTACTCTGACGTGGGGATACCCAGTAGCCACGCCCAGAGCTATGGCCACGCCCTCTGCCAGCCTTTCACGAAACAAAGCTTCCCAAACCTTTCAGGATTCATGGCGGATATGTACAGCGTAGGGCACTGAAGAACGATGCTGTTCCTACTTTGTTTGGACCAGCGGGAGATTCGGGTACACAACCTGTAAGTATTCATTGTTGTTTGTGTATTTATGATGTTTAAAACAAACAAGGTATCTACCACGACTGTTTAAATGGGTAAACGTTTTTCGGACTACTACGTTGCTCACAGCGTTATAAACCTTTTTCTTACTCAATATCAAGCCACACTTATTGTTTTTACTTCGGCTGTGAGTGTTTGTGTGTGCTCAGGATGAGTTTCGCTTGTTCTCGCTGTATCTGTATCGCCGCACACGGAAGCCTGTCTCGCTGCTCCTCTGCTCCTCGCGAGCAGCTGCGAGCAGCAACGCGCCTCTCACGTCGCGTGACCAATCAGAGCACACTGGGCTCACAGGGAGGGGGGGCAGGAGCTCCAACAAGCCGTTTAGGACAGAGAGTGAATACACATACTATACAGAGATGCTGTATAAGAAACCAATGTGAGTTTGGAACATTGCACAATATAAATCTATTCTAGTCGACCTCAACAATGGAATTATGATCAGTAGAAATGGCCATGACATGGGACCTTTAATAATAATGATACATTTCATTGATATAGCGCTTTTCTAAGTACTCAAAGTCGCTGTACAAAGGCGCAGGTAAAAATTAACATTTTAAAGTGACCTCGGGCTTTATTCAATTATAGCTGCCTTTCTGACGCATGATCGAATAAATTAAATAATTGATCTCCCCAGAAAATAATAATGATCAGCTCTAGATTAAATATAAAAACGCTTAACAGTATTTCTGAACTATATTCCTGCACTCACTAGCCTCTGGAAATCTGTTGTTGTCCATAAACACTATTAATGATGGCTACTGTGCTTGAAACGGATCAATGTAAACCAGCACTGCGTCCCTGTAGCTTCCTTTCTACTGACCCTGCATTAGATGAACAGTCTCGGGGAGTAACAGATTGCATGTAACGGATTACATAATCAGGATACAAAAAAAAGGTAACTATTCCCTTAAAGTTACATCAAAAAAGCATGTAATCAGATTACTGTTACATTTAAAAAAATTGGGGATTACACTTAAGTAGAAAACATCTTTTGGTATTTATTTTCTCTTGGATTTATTTGCATTGCGTTCACATTGAGGCAATCCAAAAGTGAAGTACGGGAAGTAATCAAGTGACATTACTTTTATATATGTCTATACTTAGATTAGGTTACTGATTACATAGTTTCACAGGTAACTACTTATTGTAACATATTACATGACTGAAGTAACCCTCCCACCAGCGTCACACTGCCCTGCTGGAGTGAGAGCTGACTAAGATGTCAGATGACACCCCAGCAGCGTGATATAAATCCTAACGGGCGCCAACGGCACTTAATGAGTAAATCAAACCGACAGGATGAGAGCAGTGTGTTTAAAGGAGAAGAGAGAGTGTGTGTTCTGAGATTCCCACACGTTCTAAAGGTGCTTTAAATCCAGTTTTAAAGGACAACAGTGTGTGTGTGTACATGTACAACATGACCCCACTAAATCTGCCTGGAGACCTTTCCGTCTCCTCCACTGACCCCTGGTCACGCCCCACCTGCACATTAGGGGCTATATTTAGACCGTGCAAAAGGTAGGATTTCTAGGGGGGAATAAACAAAAACATGAATCAAGATCCAAATTCATGCTGCAAAAAACCTCTGACTCATTGTGCCCTTAAAATAAAAACACCTTAATGTACAGCTATCCTACACTGAGCACAATACACAGGCGCGTGTGTCCAGTGAAAAGTGACCGTCGAGGGGGTTTCACACCCCTCGCTCTCAGCTCTTTGATTACGCGTTTGCAGGTCTGTGCAGGCTCAGCTGACAGGCCTAATATAGCGCACACACACACACACACACACACACACACACACACACACACACACACACACACACACACACACACACACACACACACACACACACACACACACACACACACACACACACACACACACACACACACACACACACACACACACACACACACACACACACACACACACACACACACACACATCACACACACACACACACACACACACACACACACACACACACACACACACACACACACACACACACACACACACACACACCACACACACACACACACACACACACACACACACACACACACACACACACACACACACACACACACACACACACACACACACACACACACACACACACACACACACACGGGAGGATCCCTTTTCATCATATGGTTAAGTAAAGGCAGGGTGGGGAAAACACACACACACACAATGACAGTGACCTTGACTTCAGATCGTACCACTACAGGCATGTGGGGGGGTATCCCAGCATCCTTTACTCTGACACCACCGCAATGCAGCTTCCCCAGCGTAGAGAAACAGGGGGAGCGAGAGATACCGTGCAAAAAAAAAAGGAACGAGATGGTGGTACCCAACGACTGATCACCATGGCAACGAGGCAAGACCAATTTCCAGCCTGGAAGGTGTCGGTGAGCGACGAGGCTGTTACTGCTAAGGGGGCGGGGGGGTAATTTGCAGATAAAGTGGCACCAACCCACGCCCTGCATACTAACATGACAACTGTGACTACAGGAGGCGTGCACAGAAAATAGGTTTCAATCAGATAAGATGATACTTTATTGATATATGAATATGTTGCATTTCTATTGTTAAAAATAACTTTCAAAAGTGAGATAACCACGGTTCACTAAATGCACACTGATCCATTACACGTGTCTCAGAAACATTCCATCCCGCCTCCTGCTCTACACAAACACTGAACAGGAGTGACAGCAACAGGTAGCAACTGGCTAGCTAGTGGAGCTAGCTAACTGCTAAGGTTGGGTTTCAAATGGATATTAGTGGAATATCCGAAGGATTAAATAATGGTTCAAGGTTTGTGTACACTTTCGGATGCATTTTGGAGTGTCAGATTTTGCAACGTTTCTTTTTATCTTTCTTTTGCAAGATAGTTGAGATTGTTTGAAGTGGTGATGTATGAGGTACTTATCCATAGTCAGTATGTGACCTATAATAGACGGCTGTTGGCATTCTACCATTTCAAAACATCCAAACTATCTCTATAAAGTGCAATACTAATCCACTGGAATAGCCCATATCATTTGCAGCGAGACTGTGAGCAATGAACAAGCAATGCTTAAATTAAGACACTCATCTATTGCGTGAACATAAAGAACCTACTGCATGTGTGTCAATAATGTTTTTGACATAGGAACAAGAGTACCTATGCATGTCCAAAAACTTTTTTAGATACCATTTTCAGGAGTTGCAGTTAGTTTGTATTTCTTGAATGATATGCGCAAAATGAAACGTTTTCTGGCACACTATTATTGTTACTTTAGGTAGTAATATTATATAATATATTATCTTTAAAAAAGCAGTTTTACAATCCAATGGTGAAGTCGTTTTGTATACATAAAATACAGAAGCTTTTCTATATTAGATTCCATGAATTATTGACTGACTGCCACAGTGTGTTTGAGTCCAATTGTCCTGAAATCAAGCCCCAAGGCATACTTCAAACCCAATACAAGCTGAAAGACTCACTCATAGACACACAACCCAAACAGATGCACAGCGTTCATCACTTCGTGTCCCTGCTCTCTCCGTCCCTGGGTAAAACAGCTGTTCTGCCTCACTTCCTGTCAGCCTTGTCTTGATGTTCCACGAGCGTTTCCCAGCTGGTTCTTCGGGAGATTAGTGAAAATCTTTGAGAAGGCTCTCTATGTCCTGGATAAGATCTCCTAATTTGGTCAGGTGCATGTTTCGGTCTGCCTCAGCTTTTAGTTTAAGTTTGGGCGCCCTCTGACCTCTTCAGACTGAACTCTGTGTCCTTCCTCTAGCT